CAGTATACTTCTGCTGTTGGATAGTTTAACATGGAGCTCTATGGGGATTGACTCACTTTTGGAGCCAGCCTCAAGTGGACAGTCGAGGAACTACATGTTTTTGCACACCCTAAGTTGCTGTTATTAGGTCAAAGGTGAGATTTTTGTGTTAGCAGGTCTGTAATTCAAGCTGTTACTTCATCAGCAGCTTTCTTTTTCTTTCGTTTAATAAATTAACTAATGCAGCAGACATGCTGATTTCTGTGATGACATTTAAGTGTCCGACACAAACAGATATACTGAAAATGTTTTTTTATGTTAAACTAATGATTCAAAATTGGACCAGTGAAAATTCCACTATTCAGCTCCATCTGACCAAACGGACTGCAGTCACCCTATTGTTCCTTTACAAAGACAGGAAACATACACACAGTGTGTGATGTCACGGAGGGGCGGAGTCTAAACAGCCTTGGGGGCTGGCTTAGAGCAGGAAAGCAGACGCTTCCCTCTATAAACAGTCGAGGCCTGATCAACCTTCTGCTATTGTTCTGTGTGTGTGTGTGTGTGTGTGTGTGTGTGTGTGTGTGTGTGTGTGTGTGCCTTGCTTGGAGGTTCCTGGTTTATCCTCACTTATAATGTAGTAAAAAACAATACATTTTTAGAGGCAAGCTTCCCATTATTCTCTTTTAAAAATCATACAGAATTTCAAGTTGCTTTAATAACAGAAATCTGAAATCTGATTGGTTATAGCTGTGTGTACAAATAACCTGGTTAATCAGATTTGTACATCTGAGCATGGGCAGAACAAAGTCAGAGAAAGTCAGAGCAGAAGAAAGCAGAGATTGTTACAGCAATGCAATGCTTCAAAGTGTTACATAAATACAGACTCTTTATATCTGCAATACAGTGCGAACAGAAACTAAAACACTTGTTAAATTAGCTTAAAAAAGTAAGAATATGTTTACTGACTGCAGGATCAGCAGAGTCCCTGCAGTTTATTTAAACCGTGTCCCTGTTTACATTCATAATCTGGGCTTTTTGTTTAAAGAGCCTTTGATCCAGCTGACTAAGAGCTACAGGTCTGCAGGTTTCCACCTGAGCAGGGGAAACACTGATGTGCCCCGCCCCTTTACCTGGTGAGTTGGCGGGGCCTGAGTTTTGGAAAGAAAACCTGCAAGTGTTGTTTGCCTCAGGTTGAACACGTCTTGTACGGCCCATTTCTTTGCTGGAGGCCTTTTACTTTGAAACGCTGAAGTCAGAGCAGGTGTGAAGCGGACAGGTGAGAGTAACTTTTGTCGTATTGCTGTGGATATGGACATTATACTGACACTAACACAGGTGAGTCTTTCACTGCTGGACTCTGCTCATGTTGGGCTGTAAACCTCAATGACACAGGATCTGCTGTAAGACGACACCAGGCTCACATGACGATGATGCATTTCTGACCACAGAGAGGGAGGCATGAAGACGAACTGAAAGCAGGAGAGTGTGGCATGAGGTTTAGCAGTAGCGTTAGGAGCTGCAGGAGGAGTTCAGTACTCAGAGCCAATTGTAGTTTGACTTGTTCTGACAAGATGTGAAACACAGAACTGTCATACCTCTCTCTGTGTCTTTTTCAGTAGCGGCTTACAGGGAGTCTTTTTTTATTTCACTTCCACATAAAATTACTCTCAGGGTGTAAAACACTTCATAGTAATGACTGCTGTTCATAAAATTAAAGAAACAACATCAGAGTGTCAAAAACAGATTATTATAGGCTCCAGTAAAATAGAATTCATATCTGCTGTCCTGCATTGCATAGAGCTTTACAAATATTGCATATTGCCTCTCAGTGTGTACTGGTTTGTTTTCAATTTACTGATGACTCTTTCAAATAAGAGTCCTGAATTTTAATCATGATCAAACAAGATAAAACACAGCCCTGACCTTTTATTCACAAGCTTAGGTGTAACATCACATGAGTCAGTTATCGTAAGAGCTTTCATTCTGATTCAGTGTAGTTTCACAAAGAGATGACCAAACCTGTTGAAGGAACTTTTTGTATTTCAACTTCTGGGCTTAAAAAACCTGGACTTTTATATTCATGTTTTTTTTTTTAAATAATTAAAAGTTGTAGTTGTAATTGCTTCAGCGGATAGTTTCATCTTGTAGCAGTGAGACAGGTTTCAAAATATGGGGCAAATGAGCCTGATTGAAGCACATCCAAGTTTTTTATTATCACTATTATCATCAGGCTCAGATTATTATTCCAAGTGTCTAACAACATTACAGAAAGGATCCCTACAGAGATAGACCGTTTATCTTTTGTTTTTAGAGAGGAAGATGCTTTTTGAACCAGAATCAACTGTAAATTATTTTTCTTCAACGAAAACAGACTCCTTTTACCAAGCTCTTATCTGAAAACTAGAAAGGTCTTGTGAGCTAGGCGGGTGAATCGAAACTTGCTTTGACTAGATATTGATAGTGGGTCGTTGTCAGGCATTGTTTGGACTAAGCACTTAAATTTCATTCTCTGAGCATCAACAGGAGAGGCAGTATGCGCGTGTCACACCCTCTGTTGATTGCATGCTGAAAATCTGGGGCGGGATTTTCACGAAAATCCAAGTTTAAAAGAGTCTGAATCCGAAGAAAAATGTTTTCTGCTTTTAACTCACTGCTTCAACCACCTCCTCCTCCACCCCTCCGAGCTGGGTCCGAGTCTGACCAACTCAGCCCAAAGGCACCAACCAAAAGTGCCTCACTCGACTCATTCTCCTCTCTGACTGAGGATGAAGTCTCTAAGCTTGTGCTAGACTCTCGGCCCACCACCTGACCTCTGGACCCAATACCATCAAGCCTCTTGAGCGCATAGTCTTTAAGCAAGTCTCTGAGTTCCTGTCCAGAAATGATCTGTTTGACCCAAATCAGTCAGGCTTTAAGCGGGGCCACTCTACTGAAACTGCACTACTGTCAGTAACAGAATCGCAACGAGCTGCCAGAGCTGCGGGTCAGTCCTCAGTTCTATTACTGCAAGACCTGTCTGCTGCCTTTGACACAGTCAACCATCAAATCCTCCTATCCACGCTCTCTGAACTTGGCATCTCAGGACCTGCCCTCTGCTGGTTCGTGTCCTACCTCTCTGGGCGATCCTTTAGAGTGTCGTGGAAGGGAGAAGTGTCCAAAGCGCACAGCTTATCCACAGGGGTACCTCAAGGGTCAGTGCTTGGTCCCCTTCTCTTCTCCATATACACAAACTCACTTGGTTCAATAATCCGCTCTCATGGCTTCTCATACCACTGCTATGCTGACGATACCCAGCTCTTCCTGTCATTCCCACCAGACAATGTTACAGTCTCTGCAAGAATCTCATCATGCCTTGCTGATATCTCTAAATCTTTCAAAGACTGAGCTCCTTGCCAGTCCCTCTATGCAACCACAGATCAATATCCAGCTTGGAACAACCAAACTCATGCCCACAAAGTCTGTCCGGAACCTGGGTGTCATGATTGATGACCAGCTAACTTTTAAGGTTCAAGTAGCCTCGATTGCCCGGTCATGTCGATTTGCCCTGTACAACATCAGGAAGATCAGACCTTACCTGTCAGAACATGCTACACAGCTCCTGGTACAGGCTTTTGTGATATCATGCATCGACTATTGCAACTCTCCACTGGCAGGTCTTCCTACACGCACTATCAAACCCCTGCAGATGATACAAAACGCAGCAGCACGACTGGTCTTCAACCTTCCTAAAAGAGCACATGTCACTCCGCTGTTCATCTCCTTACACTGGCTCCCAGTTACTGCTCGCAGTGGTGGAATGAACTTCCAAACTCCATTCGATCTGCAGAATCCCTCTGCACCTTTAAGAAAAAGCTAAAGACCCAGCTCTTTCATGAATACCTACTAACTTAATGATGATGGTTTCGATATTATTGATGATGATGATGGTTTTTGTTTGATAACGATGACTTATAAGATGGTTTCTATACCGATTAGAGCTCTCAAGAACTGCCCTCAATGTTGTGCTTTGCCTCTGGTCACTTCCTGTCAGCACCTGTGTGTCCAATCGGACTCAAAGCTGATCGTTTGCTCTTACTGACATTGTTCCCTTTTTTCTAGATCCTTGCTTGTGTTGTACTTACTATAGTGGCTTGATCTTACGTATCAAAAGTTTGAGCCACTGAGGGGCTGATAGCCTACCGCACTTAATTGACGCGCTGTTTCCGTGTTTCGTGGCAATAATTCAATCAACTCCGTGCTTTCACACTCAAAACGGGTTTATCTGAATCGTTCATTTACAATACATATTCTGGTTGTCTACATACACTTATTCCACTATAACTTGAATGCAAAACAAAGCCAGGATAAATGTTCCATTCACGATAGATTTCAACAGCGGTCAAAAACTGTGTGCCTCTCACGGTGGGCTGCTCACCTGTCCGTGATTAACTCTTCCTCTACTTGTGACCTTCCCAACACCAAAGTGAATGTGCCCCCTACTGTCACCACAAGGAACTACCACAGAGCACACATACATACTGAACACACAAATGGCTCTAACACTTACTCTCTGATGTACGTCGCTTTAGATAAAAGCGTCTGCTAAGTGAATTGTAGAATTGTAGAAAACTCAGTACGTTTACATGCACAGTTAAGATTTTAGCCGGACTACTATATCATGTATTTTTAAAGTCCAGTTTTAGTCGCAATAACACAATATTTATTTTAACCTCATGTTAATGGATGTCATTTTATGTCAAAAGACACAATTTCTGATATTGTTGTGCTTTGACAGGTTTATCTTTATTTGTGTTACTCAATCAAAACTTCTGTTTGATCTGAACTTAGTGTTTAAAACACCACAACAAAGTTCCACAACTACACAAACCAAACTAACTTATGTCTGCAGTAGATCAGCGGCTTATGTGATCTCTGAGTTAAAGTTACTGTTTTTGTCAGTGGAGTACGGTTGACGTAGGTTTTTTTGCGCTGAATCTGTAATATCTGGTGTGACGAAAGTTTTCTCTTATTTGTTTTAGGGGGCTGATGATCAGGTGTGTCCTTTGACCCATCTACCCATCAGGTGTGCCCATCTACCTCAGGGGTAGGGGGGGCAGGGCCTTAGGAGTTCAGTGCCCTTCACCATGGCAACAACCTCCTCTCTGCTTGGCCAAGGTGAGTTCTCCTTTCACAGGAGTAAGAAGGTGCTGAACATCTTTTATGAATTCAAATTTAAGTGGCAGCTTAATAGTACAATTAGATGAAGCAGTGATAGAATTATAAAGTGTTGATTCAAAAATTTAATAATTAAAGTTATCATGTAAGGGTTGAACGCAAAATTTTACTGATTCAGTTTATTAGCAGTTAAAGTAGGCTAACAGAAATCAGCAAGTGTTGATAATCAAAGTGAGCGTAATAAAGGTAGCAGTGTGAGTAGAAGTTGATGTAACATTAGAACTGACAAATTAAGTGATATCTAGTTATCAGTGAAAAAACAATGTTAAAAAGAGAAATACAAGTTAATCTAGCATTAGCGATGACAGCATTTCTTAAACGTGTAGTAGTGGTTTTAAAAGTTGAATTAGTAGAAGTAGCATTAGCACTAGCCTACTGTAATCACAAGCAAAGGAGCATTACCAATAGCTCCTGTAATTCATGTTACTGTTTTATTTATTTATTACAGGCCTGGTCCTGGTGGAGTTTCAGTACGAGTACGAGGGTCGGGATGGGGAGCTGGTCTCCATCAAGCCCAATGAGCGCTACGTCCTCCTGGCTAAGTCCAACGACCACTGGTGGCATGTCCAAAAGGACAAAAACTCAAAGCCCTTCTACATCCCCGCCAAGTACGTCAAGGAGCTGCCGGTAGATTTCCCTTTGCTTCTGGACTTTGTAGCTTCACCCAGTCCTGAACAGGTGCTGCTTCCTGTTGCAGCACCTGTTCCTGTCCCAGTTCCTGTACCTGTTCCTGTACCTGTTCCTGTACCTGTTGCTGTTCCAAAGACTCTGGAGGAGCCAAGTGCGGCCAAGACCAAACCAGGTGATGAGGTGACTATTCGACTCCGACCTGATGCTTCCACTGGATACCGCAAGACTGAGAACCGCATGTCCACATTTGGTGTCCCATTAGAATTTCAAGATCTGTCGCCGCCGGTGGCGCCAGTGCAGCGACCTCCGAGCGACCCTTCTGCTGCTCCTGCAGAGAATACAACCACCAGTGGGACTTCAAACATGGCCGAAGATGCACTAAGCAAAAAACATGGTTCAGGATTTTTGGAAGATCAGAGGGACTCCGGAAAACCTCGAGTTCCTAGTTTCAGTCCAGCAGACCCGCTGTCCACATCCCGGCCCCATACCCAGCCCATCCCAGTGGAGACACCGATGGTCCCTATGGTTCCCCCATACAATGACCACAGCGGGTCCTTACCTTCTACAGGTGACAACCAAGACACCCCAATAGAGATAAAGGAGGAAGAGGAAGAGGAAGAGGAGGAGGAAATGGCGGAGGAGGAGGAGATCAGTGTTGAGAGTAGCACTGGTGAGGAAGATTCTCTAAAGGAGGATTCACATCACCACATCTATGAGTCCATCCAGGACCTGAACCTGGACATTGAGGCTCTGGTTGGAGGACGAGTGAGTCCTGGAGAACCACCTGAACATGCACCTGCACCTGCACCACCACCTACCCTGCCCCCGACACAGGTAAGACTTCTGTGACCTTTTTTTGATTCTGACGCCAGAAATAGATACATAAATGAACGGACCTTACAGGTTACATAAGTGTATAGTAACAGTCCATACAGTTATACCAGGTTAGATCCTGTGTTTGATCATTTTAACAGTAATCCTTAATCCTTCATTTGCCGGCTGTCCTAACTGTATTTGCCGGCTGCAGTTGTGCCGATTTAAGTCAAGATTATGTATTAAAATTCACATTTTACAAATCTCGGTTTGCTCTGAGTTCATAAAATATTACGATCGGCAGACGGCAAACTTGTAAATGTTAGTATGATTGTTGCTCAGTGGGTGTGTGCTTGTTGTGTTTTTGTCTTTGCTTGGTTAAGACTTTGAGTTTGTATTCACTTAATGGTTTAATATTGACTTGATGTTGATTTAAAAACAGCTCAGTCTTTTCTTTCCCAGACATGAGTCTATTTTCATTTGTTGTTTTTAACACACATTAAGACTCCACGCTCTCTCAGCGTGTGTTGTATGAATGAAGAATTATTATCAATAATCCAACATATCAGCAAATAATTAAAGGAAATGTTCTGGGCATTGGTTATTAGTCACAGAGAGTTCAGTTAGATTCAGCTGCATGTCTCTTCTTTTCCAAAATAAAAGCCCTCCGCAGCGTGTCATTTCCTGCAGAATCCGCTCAGGAAGCTCAGAGAAGGAGAAGAAAAAAGCTGTTTCCTCTTTTTTATTCTCATCAGACAGAAAGACGCTGACCTATGACCTCCAGCACGGCACTGAACCGGTCGTGGATAAAACTCAAATTCTTTGATAATTAAATTGAAGGCTTTTTTTTTTTGTCTTTTTATCTTTTTGTCTCTATTTCAATGATTAATCGAACAATATGCATACTTGCTTTTCTATTGTTTAGACATCTCACAATTTAGTTTTACTTCTCATCTTTATATTTTTGTGTGATGACATCACAGCAGGATGTGATGATGTCAGCAGGATGTTGTGATGTCACAGCTAGCAGGATGTATTCAAGGTCAGACAGGAAACTGTGAGGAGGTGTGGCTGCAGCGACACCTGCAGGACGAGAGGGACAACCGGAGTCACCTGACACCTGTGTGTGTGTGTGTGTGTGTGTGTGTGTGTGTGTGTGTGTGTGTGTGTGTGTGTGTGTGTGTGTGTGTGTGTGTGTGTGTGTGTGAGGTGTATTTAGGTGACATAAACAAAAAAATACTAAGTAAAAGTCTGAAAGAACTCAATATTTGAGTTGAGACTTCTTTTGTAAAGATGTTATGAATACATTTTGTAATAATTTATTTTATACTCGTCTTTTTTTAATCGCAATATGAATTATGAGACGGTGTTTACTGAAACATTTCTTCAGGTTAATGAATCTAAAAAGAGTTGTTGACATCTTTAATCACGACAGCTGATGCTCATTTTAAAATGATTTATATTCTAGCTCTTGTGAATATCCCTCTGCTTGTCAGATATTTTTGGGAAAATTGTTTTTTTACACGTTGGCAAATAATTGTTAATTTGAAGTTATACTCTCCAGCTTTGTTTGCTGTTTTCTCTTGAATTTGAAAGATGCCTTCTGCAGTTTCACTTCCCCCTCAGCAGTTTAGATGACATCATCATGTGATCATATGATGATGTGATGGATCATACTGTATCATCTTTTCCTCCTTCTCCTCTTCCTCCATGTGTTTTTTATTTCCTTTCCTTCTCTTTATTTTCATTTCCTTCTTTTCTCTTTTAGTGTTGCGTATTCTTCTTCTCCATCTTCCTCTTCAACTCCTCGTCATTCTTCTATTCCTCCTTCTCCTCCTCTGTTCATTCTTCCCCTCCTCCTGCTTATCTTTCCTTTAATATTCTCTCTCTTTCTTCTTCTTCTTCTTCTACTTAATCTAATCATTCTCCTCCTCAATTTCTTTTTCTCCTACTCTTTTTTTTCCATTTCATATTTCTTTTTCTTCTTCTGCTTCTTTACCTCCTCCCCCTCTTACAACACAAGGGCTAAACTTTGCTTTCTCATATTATTCTGTTCTCTATGGTTACAGGAAACAGTTTTGTTGTAGTTGTATCCTGAATGCAGAACGGGTTTCCTGTCTGTGAGAATAAAACTGAACCAGCAGGGGGCGGCAGACAAACACAGACCTCAGACTAGGAACTCATCTGTGTCCATGAGTCTTCATAAAAACTTTGTGTAACATTAAAAGGGAAACACAATAATCTCAGAGACACATAAAGTTCAATGACTTGATGATGAAATGAAACCATTCAAATCCTTTGAGTCCTTGAAAACTCCAATAAATCCCCGAGCAGGTTCTAGGTGTTCTTGTCAATCAAATTATATTCTTTAGAAGGATCCACATATCCTGAAAAATTTCCTCTTTAAAAGTTGGTGATTATTTCCATGAGGTTCAGGGAGTCGGAGGTCATGAGCTCTGCAGGATGTAAACGTCTCCCGTTGTAAAAGTTGCAGGCTTGAGGGATTATCTTAAGAAGGACATGAAGTTGCAGTTATTTTATGGGCTTAAAAACTAAAGGTTCCAGGAAGCTGTATAGGTAGATGAGGGGCGTGGTCTCATCCCAGCAATAGACGGGGGGCGGGGCCACACTTTGCTCAGAGACAGGGGGCGTGGCTTCACGCTGCAGAGAGCAGAGCTGCAGGCTGACAGCATTACACAGCTCCAGTTACAGGTGGAAACAAAAAAAAAAAGGACAACAGCCCACTTTTTCATGTTTCTGAAGGGCTATATGATGCATAAACAAGCAGAGGGGTGCATTATGGGTAAGTCTGGCAGTTATTTTGTCACAAAATGGTCGTCTTTAACATAAATGCTCACATTAAGACTGGACCAGCTGTAGCTGCATGCTGATTATTTTATCAGTTTTATAAGTATTTTAAATTATGTTATTGATTTGTAGAAATTAATTAAATAAAATTAAATAAAATTGTTTCAGTGAAGAGAGCTGATCAGCTGAGAGAGGGGCTTCAGGTTAATGTGAAACTTCAAGACTGTGTGTTAATCATTCAGAGGATTGTCCCTGATTCTGGTCTCCGCAGGTCTGAGTGCTGCTCTCTCAAGGCTTCAAAGATTGAATGAGTTTAGGTGGGGGTATTTTTATTCCACAACATAAGGATGGTAAAAACCTGCTCAGGTTCTGGGGAAAGCAGCGTCCAGCAGCTGGAAGGAAACAGGTCAGGATTGAAGAACAGGTAGCAATCATTGATTATGGAAAAGTTTGTGCGCAGCAGAGAAGAAGAGTTTTTCTTTTAGTCTGGACTCATAACTACGGCAATCACAACTTTGTCTTCCCACTATCAAGAAAACAAGAAACTCAAGATTAAACGGTCACCGTGCTGTAATGATGCACTCGTTTTGATTAGAGATGCACCGATCCACTTTTTTAGATGTCATAATTAATTGTGTTATTGTTGTAGTTGGTATTAGGCTATAGTGTGAGGCTACACAATGCTGCAGTAAACCAAACAGACAAGAAGCTTTTCAAATTAAATCTTGTAAAAACTGGCCCCAGGACTCACAAACCTAGACCCTATGGGGCCCCATCTGACCGCACCCACTCTCCGTGCCCTGTTAAGCATTATTGCAGTGAAAACCAGAGTTCATCAATGAAAGTCAACAAAGACAAATGAAGAGGAATTATACACCTATAGAAGAGACAAAAAAAACCAGGAACAAATACAAAAGGGAGTAAGCGTTGGGACACTGGCAGACATAACAGGGATGAAAGCTGGTTGGAGGGCCCCCCCCCCCCATATGACTCTTGCGGGTCCCACCAGACTCTAGAATCGTTCATATTCTGTGATAGAAAGAAATGAAAGGGAATGTTTTTCGCTGCTCCCTGTTTACGTGTGTGATGTGTGTGTCTGTGTTTATAAAACATAGGAGGAGTTCTTCCTGTTGGACAGCAGCTCCTTCCATCCACCCAACCACCCTCCCACACACACACACACACACACACACACACACACACACACACACACACACACACACACACACACACACACACACACACACACACACACAGTCACAGTCACAGTTAACGATCACAAAACAACTTTGTCCAGCATGCCGTCTGCAGTTTGGAGTCAAGAAGACTCCGTTCGCTGAGGGAATAAATCAACTTTGATTTTTTTTTCGCATAGACTTCTAGAGAGGGGAGGAGCTAGCGTGTGATGGTTTTTGGTCAACTGTTGAATTATTGAGGGTTTGAAAGTTGGAGGTGAGGGGGTGTGTGACGTAAAGTGGGGGTGTATAAGTTAACACTGTTGCAAAATATGTGTAAGTACAAAGATGGAACAAAGGTGTTGGGCATCCCAATATGTTAATGACCCCCATTCTCTCTCTCTCTGTAGGGCCCCGGCTCGCTCGACCATAAATCCCCATCTACGCAAATGTCTCCTCTTTGAAGAAAACATCTCTGCCACAGATCTTGGTCTCCGTCCCTGCGCTGCCCTCATCACCCCCTCCTGAAGAACCACCTGCGATTCCAGAGCACACCCCCTCATCCTCAGTTTCCTCCTCCGGGATGATAAGCCCCGCCTCCCCCGTCAGCCCACCGGATGGATGGCAGGTGAGGTGTCCTCTGATTGGTCCGAGTTGATCTTGGATTCTTTTTTTTTTGATTTTCAGAAGAGAGGATTATGCTCAGATGGGACAAATGCCAGTTTATACAAATCAAGATTTACATGAGTTACTGAGGGGAGTCAGTCCCGTGTGCACCTAACGTTTGATTTCTGAATGCCAGCGTCTTGTTTCAATTGTTAATAATGAGATTTTCTTCTCATCGCTTCATGTGAACACTCTCGAGGCGCACAGCCAACAAGACGCTGGGTGGATACAGGTCCTTATTCAATGTGTTGTTGAAATCCAGCCGGTCTGGATGTTAAAGGGGAAGGGACGGAGCTACAGGCTGCTTGAAGCTCATTGGTGGAGCTGAACAGGGTACATGTGAAAGGAGGGGTGTTGCCTTATCATAAACATACTAAAACACTGTTTAGATTCTGTCTGTAATTCAAACTTTTAACCCTTTATGTTGCTTTATATTCCTATTATATCGCAGTGAGCCTTTCTGTGTCATTTTTCATTTTAATTTAAACGCTCTCTTCATGTTTCTGCAAGTCGCTGAACTCATTAAACTTTAATCAGAAGTAATGCGAGTCGATCAGGTTTATTCCACTGTGATGGAATGAACAGTTAAGGCTCACATGATACTCAGAACAGGCAACGGATCACTGCGTGGCTTAAAGACTCGTCGACACGACAAACAGCCTTTCAAAGTAACATCCTTACATCTGATCTGCTAATCTGCTATAACTAATGATTAAACTTAACAGTCAAGAATCAGGGGATAGTTTAAATATTGTCGCTCTGTGTTCTTTACATGAAGAAGATATATACGACATTCATCAGAATGAATAAAAACAGAATTACATTTGCAGAAGTGTTGTACATTTCTCATCATGTCCTCTGTGTGTGTTCAGGAGTACACCGACAAGGACACCGGGAAGGTGTTTTACTTCCACCCCGTCACCAGACAGACCACCTGGTCGGACCCCCGGAGCCCTCCGTCCCCTCCTGCCAGAGACATGGACCAGTCCAGGAGGAGTGAGGGGGAGCAGCTTGCCTCGCCCTCCCCTCTTTTCTCCCCAGCCTCCTCTCAGGTATGATGGGGGTCATTACAGTTATTCTACATGTGGTCGTTTTTATTGACCCCTGGGATCTGAGTGTTTTCTGTTGGTGCTTATTGTGAGCGTGAGGAATATTTCAAATGTGGACCCTGTCCTCTGTCACTGCCCTCTATCAAATTTTATATTGCTGTTTTATCCTCTATTGTAAAAAGTGTATGAATCAGCTGTTTGAACATATTTAACCAAACAGACTGTTTGTCACTAAAGGGAACATCGAAACAGTAGAGTAGGCTTCCTTTACATGGACTCTAAAGGGTACTTTAGAGAACAAATGTTGAAGGCTACCGGGACAGAGACGGTGAAGAGCACCTGGATACAGATTCTTTAGGGTTCTTTGAAACAGCAGCCTTCAAACAGATCCCACCTTGTGCTTTAGTTTGGAGTAGTGCTGTAGCACTCAAAATCGGTCTAGGGCTCAAGACCACTTTTTGAAGGTCTCGGAAAATCAAAAGCATTTTTACTCGGTCATGTCTCGGTCTCTGGGCGGACTCCAGATTTTAAATCAAGACTGGTCAAGACCACCACTGACTGGCAATTTTTCCACTTCATTACTTTGATTTGAAGGAATACATTTCTTAAAGAACAAATGACTTTAATTCATTCATAATTCTTGTATCCTGGTTACGGTCACAACCTTTCCCAGGGTTACAGTCTAAGTGAGTGACACGCCCCCTGCACACAAGATTCAGATTTTTCAGTGATATTTGTGGTCTTGGTTTTTGTCTTGTTCTTGACTCTGTCTCGATCCCTAAATGTCTCAGTCTTGTCTCGGTCTTGGAGCACTCTGGTCTCGGGTACGTCTTGGTCTCTGTTAGTGTTGACTTGACCACAACACCAGTTTGGAGGACCACCTTTTGTATGATTTCATATAAACCATTTGATGAGGACAGCTTTTTAATGATCTAATTATGAATTTCTTTGTGTAACTTTTGTTTCTTTATGTTTATGTCACTTGAGCAGCTGAAGTTGTCTGTATCTGTAAACCGTCTCTTTCCTCTCAGGGTTCCTGTGGTTGGGAGCAGCTGGTGGACGAGGTCTCAGGGAGATTTTATTACTACAACCCCACCTCAGGAGCCACGTCATGGACCGCACCTGAGCCGCAATCCCCCTCCTCCCCGTCCTCCCCTCGAGGAGGCCCGGTAAGATCCTGTGAAAAGTCTGGATTGGGCCTTGGTTAGGATTACTGAACGCTTTCAATTACTTCAATAAAAATGTCCGAGCTCTGTTATGATTCACCAACAGGACTTTTTTAGGACGTTTTGGAATTCTCACTAATGATTGTTTATTGTATGATTACCTGAAGCCTCCACTGCCAGCAGAAGATTATCCTGTAGACGTACCAAATGACCACAGCGACGCTGTCTTCACAGTGGTACAACACACACACACACACACACACACACACACACACACACACGTACTAAAACACACACAGACTACACGTAATGAGGATTTTATCTCTTAAACTTGTGTTTACATTTAATCTACTTGGTACTTTTCCCAGAATCCTCAGTCGCATGTGAGTCTGATACCGAGAGCTCATCTGGACCTGAGGGATGGAAACAGCTCCCAGTGGAGGCTGCAGGAGGTAATCAATCCCTGAGTGGTTGTGTTGTTAGTCAGCATGCAGTTTCAGGCAAGTGATTGTTTATTTACGAGTTCATTCACCACGACAGGGTTCGCAATTGACCCAAAGGCTGATGGGAAATGGAGTTTCTGAGGAGGGAACAGCTTTGCAGGTCAAGAACTGGAGACACAGCGTTGCAGAAGATGTGAGTATTACTAAACACACAAAGGGTTAGGGTTAGGGTTAGGGTTAGTACTGTGATACTAACGAGAAAATAAAACCTTGACCTGAATTTAAAGTTCTGCTTTTTGTTTGTCAGACGTTTGTTCCAAGCCACAGGAGAAACATCTCTGACTTCACCGAAATCGCGAACAGAAGACACTCCCCCGACAGTCTGCAGGTAGACACACACTCGCCTGTCTCATGTCCTCAGTTACATCCATTAAACATAAAACCTGCCTGTCCATCATTCCTTCACCCATTCATTTGTTAAAACCTTTTCATGTCATCCATTTTCCCCCTCCTCATCAAGCTCTCTGATAGGCACAGACTGAAGAGGAATCTATCCGATCGGAGCACAGGCTCCCAAGAGCTGAGTGTAGGTGCTCATTGGCTGCTTAAGATGCTCTTGGGTTCTCTTTGGTTGTGTTTCTTTTGTTACCACTAAGACGATGTTTCACAGCAGACCACATGTTACTAACTTTTGTTCTATAAAATCAGGATCAAACTAACATTCTGAATTCATTTTCTAAAACACTAACTTGTTATCTGAAGGAAACTTTTCTGGGCAGTTCAGACAGACGACGCCCCCTGCTGTCTCTTCTTAGCTTTGCAGCTTCAGTCAACAAATATATCATCCAAATATTCGTGGACCTCAACTTGTCTTTGAACAGAATGAAGGATTTGAAATTCTTCATTTATCCACTAGAGAGGTTTTTTTCAGTCCACGGTTTCATGGATTTCTTTCTGGATAGTCAAACGCTTCCAAGAGGCTGTTAGACGTTGCAGTTCCCCTCTGCGTGTGTTCAGGCCAAAGTGAATTATATTTCTTGCATAACACTCAGTGGCAAGACGCGAATATGACACGGAGAAAATGTTGCAAATTACACTCAGTGAACACATGTATTCTGCATCATACAAGAATTTTAATGAGTCCACAAATTTGAACTTAACTTTTGTCTTGAGAGAGAATCCCTGTTTACATTTCCTTGACTTCTTGCATCAGGAATGATCCAATCCAGCCTCCATTCAAAGTACAGTCTTTTTACAAGGTTTTCATTTCCTTTAATCTATCGAACAAACCTGGAAACACGTGCATTCTGTCTTTACGAAAAACTGCATCGTGATCGTGTAAATTGCAAAAAAAAAATCTGTTCCTTCTTTCTGCCACAGTAAGGTGGAGTGCAGGGGTGTGTCCAGACTTTTCAACCTGGGGCACAGACTTATTTCAGGATGGCATGATGTTTGTAGGCACATGCATGTAAATTAATTAAATTCTTTCTTTACCTACAAATTATATTGACTTGTTAGTAACATCATGCTTATGTATAATCTCCAGCCATGCCACCCCTGGTCTTACCCCTTGTTGGTGTGCAGCCTCTGCGTTGCTGTAAAATCTCAAATGAGGCACATAAACAAGATCTCCTAACTTGATACAGAACGCTGTTAGAAGGCTGCCACTGAGGAAATCTCCCTTCGGAGATTTGTTTGTTCATTTCACATTCACTCTGAACACAGCTAAGTGATCACAATGTAATGCCACCCAAATATTTATTGTGCTTTTGGCCTGATCAAACCATTAGTCTCATTTTAGGCCGAATCTCATTCTGGTCAGAGAAAAAATCTTGCGCTTTGTAACGAACTACGTCTCCACTGCAGGCTGAATAAAACTCATCTGGACCAGGCAGAGAATGACACCAGAAAGAATTAAATTTTCTTCCAAATTTAGACTCTGTGATGAACACAGCAGCCTCTAGGTGGCGCTGGAAGGACTTAGAACATGTGCCCAGTTGTTCTCTACTAACCCCTCTGAATTAGTCATATCAAATGCATGAACAGTTCTTAAGCTCTGGTTGGGGTCTTCTGTTGGTGCTATTCATAATGAGGACATAACTTTTAGTGTCTAGTGCAAAATGTCTCTCTTTAGAAATTGTTGTTTTAACTGTGACATTTATGTGTTCAATACAACCAAATGACAGCATGCTTCAAATTAAGATACAAATTCAACTAAACTTTTTATAAAACTAACTTTATGTCTAATTAGCCAGGAAACTTGGAGTGGATCAGACTCTGTATGAGGATGAACAAATTTAAAGAAATGAAGGGACAAAAAGTCACTCGGACAGATGTCCTTGGGTTGAGAAGGGTATGGGGATGCTTAAGGAGTATCAAGGAAGGTTATTGGGCTTCACTGCACAAGATTCAGGGAGCAGAAGTTTCTTCTCATGAAGCTTCTATGAGTTTAAGGGTCTATGAGGAGGTTTTGGGGGGTCTTCAGTTCCTATAGAACTTTGGGACTTTGTTTAAGAAAGGCCTGTTATTCCACAAGGACATTTTAGGTATCTAGTTTTTTTTGAAGAGTTTGGATCTTAGAAGAAGTTTCCAGGGGTCTTTGGGGATCTGCTGGTGGCCCTTAAGGAACATTTTTGAGTACTTACCTAGGTAAAGAGTGATGGCATAGGTCCTAAGTGCCAATGGGGGATATTTCTTGAGGTTCAATGAGGAAGCTCTTTTGTGTGTTGGGGGCTATGTCTTGTTGCCTCCAGTGATTTAATGTATTGTAGTTTTGTAGAACAAAAACACATGGTGTATTTTACAGTAGAGGGAAACATTTCCAAGGCGGTCAGACAAGACTCGGAGTGTGAATGAGATATAATGTGTCAGGGCTGCAGGCACTGAAAGATCTGCTCACAAACCACTCCCATGTTTGAATGGGAGTCATGTTTCAAAGCTGACCTGCAGGTTCAAAGGAATCTGAAGACTCACCGGTCTGTCCGTCTCACTGTCTGTCTTTGTCTTTCACAGTGCCACCTGCTGGAGAAAGCAGGAATCCTCAACAAGACCAAAGTAGTTGACAATGGGAAAAAGATCAGGTGAGATTTCACTCTTGTACAAAAATCCTCAATTTCTCCATGAAGTCACTTTTTGGTCTAGATGGAAGAAAGACGGGGTTCATGCTTTTTTATGTCTGTGTTTTTTTTCATTTGACATGTGATCAGGTGCCTCATGTGATGCTGTTTGCTCAGTTGAGGTTGTGTGGAACATGATCTAACTTGTCTCTTTTGGTGTTGACAGGAAGAACTGGAGTCAGTCCTGGACGGTCCTTCATGGTGGGATCCTCACCTTCCACAAAGACCCCAAATCTGCTCCAACTGGAAACGCTGTAAGCACCTTTTCTTTCCTCGACAACACTAATCAAACAAACAGGATTTAGCTAAGTGAAAAGGTTAATGAATATAAAAATAAACCTTTGGATAAAACAAAAAGTATTTTAACAAAACAATCAAATATGCAAAACTTCTTCCAATCAGAACATCAGGAACATGTTTTTACTGAATTCATGAACCCTTTTGGACTAATGTTTAATGGACTTGTTTTATTGAGAAAATTGGAGCTTATCTGACCAAACACCCTGAACCAGAACTAAACTGTTCAGCTAAAGCCAGTCTCAGCTCTACAAGATAACATTTCCACTATGGCGACCGCCATCGTTTGGCTTCATAACCCCTCTTGAGAAACCAATGGTTGACATCGCTTATTAGACAATGTCCATGTTTGGTACTATCTGTGCCTATTTCATTGACATTGATCGGTGATGATGCTTTCCTTTTCTTCAGAACAAATCATCACAGATTGTTCCAGAATACACCGTCGAGCTGAGAGGAGCCTTGATTGGAAGGGCCTCCAAGGAAAAGTCATCCAAAAAGAACGTTTTAGAGGTACCACATCTTTAAACATGACACCTCAAGCTTATGGTTCCAGTGTTTTTGATCGGCTCTGTAGTCCGTTACCATAGTAACAAAATGTGAAACGGTTTCCATCTGTAGAGTGTGTTGTGATGTTTAACTTTCTTATGGTAACACTATGTTTTTTATGTTGCTTTCATGGCAACACTATGTTTTAAGGATACCTGTTTTTTCTTTATCATGGTAACACTGTTTTCTGCACCAGTATGTAACAACAGCATCTGAAAGACTGAAGCAACACGTGTGCAGTGTGTGAAGTGTTTTTGGACCTGGGTGTGATTGCGCTGTTTTTGTGTTTGCATGCAGCTTAAGACTCGGCAGGGCTGCGAGTATCTGATACAGTACGACACCGAGAGTATCATCAGTGATTGGCTCAAAGTGATACAGGAGAGCGTCCGCCAGCTGGTAACAAACACACTCACCACATCAGTTATCTCGTTGTTTTTCTGAGCAGGATCTGCCAAAATGTGTCATTCGAATAAGAACTAGGATTGTAATATATACGACTGAGAAACAGACTTTTAAACAGAAAATATCTTGAATCAGGAAAGCTGTTTTGCAAGGTCGCTTCATGAAGTTGAACTCTTTCAGGATCTGGTGTATCTGTCTGAGGACGAGGACGAAGTTGACAATGCTTCTGACAAAGAGGACAAAGACAGGAAGAGGACATGTGAGTCCACAGTTTATCTCTGTTGAGTTAATGTTCTCCACTCTAAGTCCAGTTTTCAGTCTGACTGTCATGTATTCATCATCAGCTTCTGCAGCCTTAATGGATGTGTTAATGTTCAGGCAAAGCTTTGCAATTTACACGTTTCCATGTTTAGAACTGAACATAACCTGATGTGAAAGATGAGCTTGGAAGAACAAACACTATCCTGTTGTACAGACTTCAGTTTGTCACATTTACATATCGAAAAACAAAAAACCTCTATAGATGTTTCATGAGAGGATTGTTGAGTCTTTAGCTCTTTTCAGACTGCTTTCTTCTCAAAAGTGCCAAAAAAACAAGGCACAACAGGAGCTCCACATATACACAGTACAACGAAGTCTGAATGGGGCTTTAAAGAAAGAGTTTGTGATTTAGGGGAGTAGGGTTGTCAAAATGTTCAATATTGAAATGCTAGTTTACACCACACATTTCACTTGAAAAAATCTCCATTATTTTAAAGGTTCATAGTATGGATAAATACCAGAATTAAAAAGACAACAACAAATGTTAATTTCATTAATCCAAAAAAGGTCAAAACAAAGTTTGTAATTCTGCTTCTTGTCATGCACAAAACTCAGATAGTCTACTTCTTATTCATCCTTTTAGCAGCCAGGGTTTCATCGGGAACAGCCGACACTGAGCAGAGACATGTTCGGACCAAGCTGCGACGTTTCCTCCAGCGTCGGCCCACGCTGCAGAGCGTCAAAGAGAAGGGCTACATCAGAGGTAAAAACGCACATTTTTTCCTTCACTGTCATCAAACAGGCAAAAAAATACCTGTTTAATATGCATACACCGCATGTGTGTCGGTTGTTGCTTACGTTGTTAATGGTTTGGTTTTGATGAATCACTTTAGACAACGTGTTCGGCTGTCACCTGGATACGCTCTGCCACAGAGAAAACACAACCATCCCCAGATTTGTGGAGAAGTGTATCAAAGCAGTGGAGAGGAGAGGTAAACACCAACACACACATACACACACAGTAGAATACAACTGGACACAGCGGACTGATGAGTGTGTCTGTTCAGGTCTGGATGTGGATGGGATCTACAGAGTCAGCGGGAACCTGGCTGTGATCCAAAGACTACGACACAAAGCTGACCATGGTAACAAAAGCCTTTTTCACATATATACACCTGAAAATATCTAGATAAGATTCAGCAAGTTTTCTGTATATGTGAGAACCACTTATGTCTGTTGACCACCCTTTCCTTTGCAAAACTTCAATTAAGGTACTTTTAATGCAAAGTGCTCCCTAAATATCACTGTATGCAGATGATGTGATTTACTCTGTTATGGACAATGTCAGCACACTGCATTCAAGACCGAAGAGAAGCAGCGTCAGATTCTTTGTTCTGCATCCCGAAGTGTTCCACTTATTGTCCTTTTTACTGTATCCCTGTTGTCTCTGCAGAGGAGCAGCTAGACCTGGAGGACGGACAGTGGGAGGAGATCCACGTAATAACTGGAGCTCTCAAACTCTTCCTGCGGGAGCTTCCAGAGCCGTTATTTCCCTTCAGCTGCTTTGAGAAGTTCATCGCTGCAATCCGTCAGTAAAATAATCTACACTTTAAGAATAGCCCTTCAAGTTTAGAAACTTTAAACTACTATTTACCTACATGTACTATGTACATATTATCATGTAGGGCTTTATTTAATAAACACTTCATCTTTTATCTTTACATGATTAAATTCTGAAAACACCCTCTCAAATTAAAACTATTTTGACAGAAAAAAAGACCCATTAAAACCCAACTGGGTCTGATGTAAAGAAGTAATTTAAGTTGAGCTGAAGAAAGTCTAAAACAATTAAAAATGAGGGAAACAATGTGCTTATTGTTGGACAAGAGAAAAGTTGAAAGGGTCACCAGAGTCATTGGGTGTCATCCTCTGAGAATCCTCTGAGCCTGAACAGTTGTTGGTAGTCGTCCCCAAAGCTAGGAAATGTTTATGTGCTTTGAGCTGAGCATTTTTCTGTTTGTTTAGAAGCAGCTCTTTGTGTTTATTTTCATGCAGAAGTCCCAGACTACAACCTGAGAGTCTCCTACATGAAGGACCTGGTTCGCTCCCTGCCTCTGCCTAACAATGACACCATGGAGCTGCTGTTCAAACATCTGCTCAGGTGAGTTCACTCAGGCTTCTGAGACAACTGAACATAGAGAACATAGGCTACATTCTACTCAGCTCATGTGCATTTGAATATGAACACAAGAATCTTGATAACGATGGGCCTCATTCACCAAAGTCGTACCAAGTTTTTTCTTCAGTTTGTTCTTCAGAGGATCTGAAGACAAGTCTTACGAAGACTCATGAATCTGTTCTTAAAACTGGTTCATGAGTCTGTTATTGTTGACACAAATCAAAGTTCAACATTTCAATCACGGATGTAGATATTACTAATACACCGTAATCTCCACATTGTAAAACAAGCTAACAAGCTGTGCTGAGTGAGAAAAGATAGTGTCAGTGCCTTCCTCGTTCTTCAACTTTCTAATAGAAACGGGTGTCTGCGTAGTGTGCTAGGACAGGCTGTAAGAAGCCTCATGAGTGTTAGTAGCTTAGAAGAATTCCCAGAAAAGAAAACTTAGGTGAAAGTAAAACTATTCTTTAAAATGTCATAAGTGGGTTTTAAGAAGAAATATCTTTCAAAGACGGTTGATGAGGCCCTTTGGCTCTGCTTCTCATGTTTTATATGGTTTGAGATGAGGATAATTCCCAAAACAGAAGAAAATCCTCCAAATAACAGACACTGCAACTTGTAACACATTCTCCCTCTCCCTCTCTCTCTCTAGAGTGATTGAGCACAAGGAATCTAACAGGATGTCCTTTCAGAGTGTTGCCATTGTGTTCGGCCCCACTTTGCTCGCTGACGCCAATAGACATGGTCAGAGCCAAATATGAGCTGCTCTGGAACAAATGGTGTTCCCTCTTGGAGAGAAAAGATCTTCCAGTGGAGCTCATTCTTTAAAATGTCATAAGTGGGTTTTAAGAAGAAATATCTTTCAAAGGACGGTTGATGAGGCCCTTTGGCTCTGCTTCTCATGTTTTATATGGTTTGAGATGAGGATAATTCCCAAAACAGAAGAAAATCCTCCAAATAACAGACACTGCAACTTGTAACACATTCTCCCTCTCCCTCTCTCTCTCTAGAGTGATTGAGCACAAGGAATCTAACAGGATGTCCTTTCAGAGTGTTGCCATTGTGTTCGGCCCCACTTTGCTCCGCCCCCAGACAGAGTCGGCCAATATGACGATCAACATGGTGTTCCAGAGCCAAATAGTGGAGCTCATGCTCAAAGAGTTCCAACCATTTTCTCAAAATGAGCTGCTCTGGAACCTTCAAAACCCTCTACAGGGCCTCTTGGATGACCAATGAGACCTGCCAAAGATCTTCCAAAGTGTCAAAGAACCGTCATAATCTTTGGATCAAAGCTTCACCTACTCTTAAGTTCATCAGGAAGTGAACTTGGACTCAACTAGCTAAAGATGCTTGCCTCTCACCACTGTGCCTTAAATGACCCAGATTGAATTTAAGAAGAACTACTGAGTGAACCTGCAGACATTACCAAGCCTCTCTCAAACCACTGTGCTTTATATGATGGAACCATCTAGAGTCCTGAACTGGTATTGAAAGATTAATTCTTTGTCAGGATCCAATTCAAAACCAACAAAAACACTTTTAGGCACCTTAAAAAGACTCACATTCCCGGAAGCAAAACCATCCGGATAAATTCAAGATGCTCCTAGAACTCTTTGAAGAAAAACATCATCATCTCTTGAAACAGACAGTGGAATACAACTGTCTGACCTCAGTGCAGTGAATGGACTATGTCAAATTTCTTGCTTTGCAAAAGGATTGATCCTAAAATTCCCCATCTGCCCTTTTTAAAGGTTCAAGAACAAAAAAAAGAACAAATTCCTGTGGAGTTGACATCAGATCACAAGACATCTTCAGAGCCCTCTCTTAAACAATGTGTTTATCCTCAGTGCATGGTCATGTAGACGTTAGATGGCACTCTTTCTTTTACATTTTATTGTGGAATAGAATCAGGAACTACAGGAACTTTAAAAAAAAGTTAAGAGGACCAAGGATGTTTCCCTGAGGGACTCCACAAGTTATTGAGGAGGAATCACAAAATGTTATTTTTTGTTAAAGGAATAATTTTACAAGAACATTTTTTACTTTTGTATTTTATGTTCTGCTGTATGAATGAATTCTAGAAATGATCATCTGAACAATGCTGTATGTTTTTATTGTGGTATTGAAGTTTTATGTATTGCAGATATAGAACAAAGTCAACATGGAAATTTAACAGATAAAACACTGTACATAAGAGGGTATTTTACTGACCTTTAATAAAAATGAAAATGATGTGAACAATAGTGTCGAGGTGTGTTGTGTGTAATATAAAATGGAAAATGAGAGCACCTAGTCACTTGGATAGCCATGCAAAAGAGAAAATACACACACATATACTGTAGGCCTATGATGTATAGGCCTTGTAGGAGCCATTTTGTGTTTATCGTTGGCATGTTGTATAATTAGATTTATCTGAATATATTATTTTCCACTAGGGACACTGAATGCACAGGGTGTGTATATAAAGTGGCACATCTGACAATAAAGGGAAGGCACAGGTAGGGGGAGCACAGACAGTTCTCATCAGACCGGCATTCATGTTTCAAACCAGCATTCATGTTTCAGACAGCATTCAGACAAACTACAATTCATTCATTCTACTGGCTACACTTCACTGGAAATGGTATGTTTTTTGTTCTCATATCTCCATCAAGTCACTTCAATAAACCTTCAACTCAACTTTAATAACGGCTGGAAAATCATTGTTTGCATCTGCGTAAGACTTCACCCCTACCTGAGTATTAATGGCAATAATTGGAGCAAAGGAAAAAATTTGAAAATTGCCATTACAGGCCTATAGACCAACACACACACACACACACACACACACACACACACACACACACACACAGTCTCAAACTGATTCAAATGAGGCAAAAAAGCAGTGAAATCTGATTTTCTTCACCTTTTTTTCCACAACATCAAAGTGCTCTGACTAGGCCGTCAACAAAAATCCAACACTCACTACGCTGCGCATGTGCGGACCACCGGCGCGTCGTCATGGATACGGTTTGTTGTATCCGACCGGTGAGGAGACTTTTAAGGCCCAGGAAAACATAGCGTTAGCACGAAGAAATCAAACTTGGACAGGTAATGAAAATCTGTTTCCTGGGAATTTAACAGGAATGAATAGGCAGCTTCTGATCTGTGAAGTTAGCCTGGGAGCTAACGGTAAACAACAGTAGATTTAATTTAATCAGAGAAACTTATCACTCACTTTACCATCACTTTTAATCGATACCTTCACGTTAAAAATGTTTGTTGACTCATATATCATACAAATTCAACTGTAGGCTTCTGGTTTGACATTATCTAAGTGATTATCTTATCTTATTATCATTATCTTACTTGACATTAACTAAGTGCAATATATGCAATGTATTTATTCTATACCTGTCACCTGCAAATTAATTGTATATTGTTTACTATATCGTATTATTTAATTGTATTTCTAATTTGAATATTTGGTTTTAGTATTTGTATATTTGTATATTTCTGATATTCATATTTTGTTGTACCTGTACAGTGACAATCAACATTTCTTATCTTATCTCATCAGGTGATGGCGAGCTCACAGCGTGATGTCATCGACTTCTCAGCGCTGGAGAGAGAGCTACAGGGGGCGATCAAATCTGAGCAGAAATACAAGAGAGAGAACGAGGCTAAACTGAGAGCGGTCAGCCAGAGGGTGTCCTACGACCAGTTCAGGTAATTTCCAGGTCTCTGGACAAGCTTCCACGAGGCCCTTAAAGAGGTTAAAGGTCATGACAGCAGTCCTAGAAATACTTTCAAAAGGTTAAGTGTCTAATCAGGGGCCCTGGAAACACATTGTACGAATAAGAGGTTATTTCAGAAGCCCTGGAAGCTCCTCCAGTGTGTCTTAATATGTCATATGACTTTGAAACTCTATTTTAGTGTCTTAAACAGGAAATATTTTTGTCATGAGTCCTAGAATATGTCCAGGGGGTTATGGGTATTATCAGGAGTCCTGGACATACTTCTAGGGCCAGATTAAGTTGAGGCTTCAAAAACATTTTAGGGCGTCACATTTGAGTTTCACAGAGTAAAAGGACATCCAGGAGGGGCGCTGGTGACACAGTGGTTTGTGCGCTCGCCCCGTGTACGGAGGCTGTAGCCTCAAGCGGGTGGCCCGGGCTCACATCCCACCTGCGGCTTCTTTCCCGCATGCCATTCCCCACTCTCTCTCTCTCTCTCATTTCCGACTCTATCCACTGTCCTATCTCTCCATTAAAGGCACAAAAAGCCCAAAAATAAATCTTTAAAAAACAAAAAGGATTTTATTACAAGGCAAAATGTCAGGATGATTTAGAGAATCCAAGAACTCTTTCATAGTTGACATTGAAGATTCCAGATTACAAGCTATCATCTTTTTTTTTCCAGATTCTGGATAACTTTATCATATTTGACCATCTTTTTTTCCATTCTTTCTTTGCATTCCCCATATTGGTAACTGAACAAATATTATGCTACTATATTTAAGTGTAAATCTCCCCGTGAGCATGAAAAAACAAGATTTACATAAATGTTTGAGGTCATTACAGGGCTCCTTGAATGCTTGAATGTTTGTGTCTTTTATAGAGACCTGGTCCTGTCGTGTCACCTGAGGCCTCTGGAGAAGAAGGACAAAGAGGGAGCTGCACGGAAACAGCCCTGGAACCCCGTCGCCCCGTCATGAAGGATGCGCCAACACGAAGATTTCACGAGATATCAAAAGATTTCACTCCATAAAGAAGACGGTTTTTATTACACAAAGATTTAACATCGCAGTTTGATTCATTTTTAAATCTCTCAACTGTTTGTGTATTTTTTCCTGTTTTTCTCCCTGCTGTTGAAACACTGTCATAATAAAAGAAAAGTGAACTTTTAGTTGTGTGTGTGTTTTTTTAAAACGTTTACATTTACTCAAAAATCCTCAAAATGACACCAAAGAAGTGAAAAAGAAAATACTCTGACTCCTCTATCATCCATCTGCACAGTTATCTATCAATAACTAGACTGATATAAGTAAATGAATGAATATAAACATTAATTACTCTGAGTGAAAATGACAAAAAGGATTCAGTCAGTTTCTCATGTTGTCTGTTGTGTTGTACTCAGTGTGACCGGCAGGTGGTGCTGCAATCCCAGGAGGCTCAAACAGCTACAACTTAAGTGAAAAAATATTCACCCTCAGAAAAATACTGATCTTTTCTATTGTTCAGTAAAAAGTGTTATCACAATAAGTCGTGTTATTTTTCAATACAGGCTATTAATATTGTTTGAGTAATCTTTTACGCTTTAAATATTTGTTTTCCTTTTTATTACTGCATGAACTCTGGTATTCAATTTTGTTACAAGTTGTTTAACTTTCCCAATTGTTTCATTTGCAATGAATAAAGTTTAATTCTTTGATGCGAAACAGGAAGTGGTTGGAGCCAAGAAGGTACCCACAGAGATATTAACATAGGCAAGAGGTCTCACTGTGAAATAAATTATGGAGACAAACTTCTCACACTTCTTCTGACAGCCTCTGTGGAGTTTGAAGGAAAAAACAATACAGGAGGAAAAAGAAGGAGCTTTCAGGGATAATTCCAGGACCCAAGCATCAACTTGAAGGACAAATTAAAAATAATCCTCCCCCTGCCACATAGTCATCCTGAAAAATGTACAACTATATCCTTTAAATTACTCTTAAAACCATCTTTGTCTTTAGTAGCCTACCCATGTTAGTCAAGGAAGTCTGGAAAGATCCATTTCTAGTTTGGAGTTGTAACCTCCCATGACTCTGTTGTGAGGTTTCATGCATGTTTAAGTGATTTCAATACATGGAAATGTTCCTGCTTGCATTCAGTTCCAAGGTGCGCTCAAATGGATGCATACTTTGTATTTTAAGACTTGTCTTTGCGTTCTTTAACGGTTTCACTTCTTTTCAGGGGTGAGTCATCCTGAAGCGCAGCAACGATCTTTGAATACAGCAGAAACAAGTGAAACTGCAGGTTGGTGATGTTTTTCTGACAGGAATCAAACCGACAACTGTGATAGACAGGCAGACAGACAACTTCACAGACTTATTTCTTTCTTACAGCTTCTGGTAAGTTTTTAAAGTTCACATTGTCCACTGGTATTGATGCCAATTTAATTAATCGATGGTGAATACGGTTTTAAAAACTTGATAATTAAACGTTGTAATTAAAATAACTGCACTCAGGTTTCCTTTTACAGTCGTGTCATTAATTGGCTTCAGTAGTAAAATAAGCATTTACATCGATTAATCTATTACGTGTTCATATAACTTTTCATTTTCTTTGGATGAAAAGTTTTGTCAGCAAATCGAATTAAAGTGCAAGTAAAAAGTAGGCCACTTGTTCTGTCAAAAACGCCTTTTAAAGTTCAACTGTCCAATATTTTATCATTGTATTATTATTGCAAGGCTACTCAAACATTTAAAAGCGTTATACTGTCACGAAGTTTAAATGTGCACATGTATAAAGGTTGTTCATATCAAAAATCATCACAGAGGAATCTCATTGTACAAAAACGTATAGGCCTACTTTAATAATGTAAACGTATAGGCCTACTTTAATAATGTAAACGTATAGGCCTACTTTAATAATGTATTCTTTAACATTGCATCAGTTTCGTCCTCACAGCCTCTCATTGTAAAGCCTAAATGACAGAATGATGAATTTCAGGATCCTTAAGTGGAGACCACCTTGAGGTCACAGGGTTCCCTCAAAGAGTTCCAGGATGTTCAGCAGACTTTAGACATCCTTAAAACAATTCAGTCACATTTTAAGTTTCTGTTTAATGGCTGCGTTGTAAACTTTGCATTTTTTTAGCAAAAACACGACGTCACAACTCGGCACTAACAACAGACGTGTGTTCTCTGAAGCAGCGATGAAGGAGCAGAACTTTAAAGAGGAGGTGGTGAAGATCATGGAGGAGGCACCAAACGCCCGGAAAGCTCTGCTGGAAAACTACGACAACCTGCTGAATGTGGCCGACTACTGCTGCAGCAACTACATACAGGTTGTTAAAAAAAACTCTTAAGGGGCACCGGTGACCTATAGTGGTTAGTTCGTGCGCTGCATGTACAGAGGCTGTAGCAAACTCCAAGCGAGCGGCCCAGGTTCAAATCCTCTCTGTGGCTCCATTCCCAAATGTCGTTCCCCACTCTCTCTCTCTCTCCGATTTCTGACACTACCCACTGTCCCTTCTGAATAAATAAAAAACTCTTTATAATGCTAAAACTGGCTGAACATGATAAGTACTCATGCTACTATAGTTCAACTATTTTTGCTACCCTAGCCCAACCATGTTCTGTTTCTAATTGTTCTGCTAAGCAAAGCAGTAACGCCCATTTTCCAGTCTTCAAGGAACGCTACATTAACAGTTTCCTCCAGTTCCTGTCTTCCTTCTAAGCTGAGCTAACCTTTCTGCCTTTTTCAACCTTACAATTTCCCTGTTTCACTTCTTGTGATAGGCTGGGCTGACAGTTTCAAACTGTGTCCAGTGTTTACGCTAAGCTGAATGAACAGTTCCCCCTGTTTCCAGTCTTTGTGATAAACAAAACTGCCTGTCCTTGTCTTTGTGCTAAGCTAACAGTTTCCCCCTGTTTTGTGCAGAACTCAATTGTCAGTTCGTCCTTGTTCCATTATTTGTGCTAAGCTATCAACAATATTCCCACTCTCCTGTCTTTGTGCTAAGATAACCCCTCCTGTCTCCTTGTCTCAGTCAGGTGAGGACAACATGAAGGCATTGGAGGAAACGAAGAACTTCACCACCCAATCACTGGCGAGCGTTGCCTACCAGATCAGCACTCTGGCCAGTAGCGTTCTGAGTCTGCTAGACGCTCAGACCAATCAGCTTTGTCACATGGAGTCTTCCATCAACCTCATTGGTCAGGTAAGGCCATGCCCCCAGCAACACTTAACAACAACAAAAACTACACAAACAATGACACAACAACAACAACAACAACAACAACATCAATACAACCACAAAAACAACCATGAAAACAGAAACATCTACAGACACAGCAACGGCATCAACAACCATATCTAACAACAGAAATCATCTACAACAACAACAACAACAACAACTGCAAAATCATCATCTATGAAAAACAGAACTAAACCACAACAACATCTTCATCCCAAAAGACAACAACAACAACGATAACATCAACCTCTATTTACACCATAAACAACACAAAAAAATCCCCACAACAACAGCATCTCTGTTTTGGAAACACACAAACAGAATGACTTCAGCTGATCAGAGAGCGGGACCAAGTAATGTTGCACAGCGGGTATCTGACCCCAGAGTTACCATGGCAACACGTATGGGGGGAAAAATGCTCGGCACAGCGAACAGGAATTTTCAGTCTGAGTTGTTTTCAAAATTGAGATGTCAGTTCTGTTTTTTCTTTTTTTACAATTGGAGGCTCCATCGGTTTATTTATTTCTTACTTTGTGCTGAGAATATAGATCCAGGTCATTACTGTGTTTATGTGTGTGTGTGTGTGTGTGTGTGTGTGTGTGTGTGTGTGTGATAATAGCCTCCTTTCCATCAGGGTCTGGCTGAATGAATGAATGAGTGAATGGACGGATGACTGGAGCCTCTGTTCTCCGTCTGCTTTGTGTTCACTAACTGTCATTAGCAGAACGACTACGACCATTTCTTTGATTTCTAGTGTTGTTTTCAAGTTGTCAGTTGCTCCTCATTTATTTATGACTTTCTTCAAGCTGTGGTTCAGTTGTTGGAAATTACAACTTTTTTTTTTTAACAGTTTTCCCTTTTTGAGCTCGGCTAACAATGTCCCATTTCTAGTATTTACAATTAACCATTAGACCTGCCTTTATAGGTTTATATCTTATACAGGTAAATGTCAAATATCAGCTGAAACATGTCAGTTTCCTCTTCCTGCCAACAGCCTCAATATTTGCACATGCATAGTTCAACTAGCTTGTTTTAGCATACCATGTAGCATTGTGGCAAGCAGCAGACAGACAGTAGACAGACACTGTGGTTCTTTGGGCCTGTTTCTCCTTTTTGTCGGAAAAATGAGGTTCTTTGTGGTTTTTAAAATCCTACTGCTAATGAAGGCAGAAACTATACGTGATGTGTTCAGTGTGCGTCTGTAAACAGCATTCGTCTGAGTAACCATGCCAACACTGTCGGCATGTTCCACTGCAAAATAAAACAAGTAAACTGGCTCAATATTTCTAGCGTTCTGAGGGAGAAGAGGATTTACTTCAGGTGAAATTGTCTTTGTGAGCTCAGGATTGGATGGTGAAAAACAGTCATTTTTCTGTGTTCAGAATGAATGATCTCTGCTCTTTTGTTTCTCCTCGTGTTTCTTTAGACGGTTGAGATGCACAAAGAGAAAGTAGCTCGGAGAGAAATCGGCGCCTTCACAGCGGTGAGACGAGTCCCACGCAGCCACAAGATCCTCCCTCCTTCTCAACCTCCCGCTGGTACACAGCAACGCCCATCCTACAGCCGCCGTCCAATCAACTACCAGCAGCTTGACAGCGTGGGACACGGCATGAAGGTATCTAGCACACAAGCACATCATGACACTGTTGTGTCACCAATGCAGAATCTTTATCCGCAAACTGTCAACAGTTAAACACTCTGGTTTGAAATGCAACATGGTTTTTTTTCTTCTTAAAGTTTATTAAAGTCCGGAGAGAAACGCACAGCATTTGCAGAAACTCAATAAAAGTCAAAAATAAGAAACCCAAAATTTAAAAGCAGAAGTACATTCTTTGACTCTCTGCTGTGAGCTGATGCTAACGGGAAGTGTCGCCTTCTGAACAAACCACAGAAACAGAAGTGACACCACCATGGGACCTCATTTTCTGTGCTGACAGCAGAACTCAGACTCCTGAAAACGGCAACATAATCCAAGAAACTTCTTTAAACTACTTCATATTACGACAATGTTTTACAACTTTCTTCAAACTTAAACTAACTTCAAGTCACTATTATAACTGCTAAAAGAACCTGCAATTTCTAACTCAAGATTTCAAGCTGCAAACTAGCAAACTTTGCTAGCTGCTACAAACTACTGCAAATATCAGTTAGCTGCTACACCACTGATCATAAAACTAACTACTGCAAACTACTACAAAATCTTAATTTCTACTGAAAACTTAAAAAAAGTACTGCAAACGATCACAAACTACTGCAAACTACTAAACATACTGCAAACTAGAACAGACAACTGTGAGCTTCTGCAAAGTCCATACTGCACATTATTGCAAAGTACTCTTATTGAGCACTGCAAAATCATAGAAACTACTGCAAACGACTTTAAACTGATGCAAACGACTGCAAGCTGCTGCATCACTGTAAGATCTTATAAGGTGCTGCTCATCATTACAAACTACTTTAAACAACTGCAAACTTTTTGGCCCTGTTGAAAACTCCTGAATACTAATGCAGACTGTTCAAAACTACTGCAAACGACTGCATGCTGCTGCAAACTAAAATACACTGTGGTTAACTTCTTCAAAATCTATACTGTTCACTTCTGCAAACTCTTACTGAGCACTACAGAATATTACAAACTGCTGCAAACAAATTTCAATGTGTGCAAAGTACAGCTGCAAACTGCACACAACGTCTGACTCCAACAAACTACTTCAAACGTCAGCAAACTACTTAAAAACGCTCCACTGCTCTGGTATGGATCTTTGTGCTCACCAAGGACTAGATTAGTTTAAGAAATAAAAAATAAACAGCCAAAAATGTTCTTTAATTTCAAGGGAAGAAGTAGTTGTAATGCACATGTCAAATACTAACTCCACCGTTTAAAGGTCGCATATTGTGCAAAATACACTTTACCATGTTTTTGAACACTATTATCTGTCCCTAGTCTGTCTACAAACCCTCCAATTATGAGAAAGTCCATCCTCTACGTCTTCTGCCTGCGCCACCTTTCAGAAATTGTGTGCTCAAACAGGCCGTTTTTGGAGATTCTCCCTTTATGACATCACAAAGGGAGTGTCACCTTCCCCCAGGTGGGTGACACTCCCACAGCTAGGTGTTTGTTCTGCCCTCTCCTCTGAGTCTGCCTTCTCACTGTAAACAATAGGACATGGTGCAAGAAAGTCCAAGCCACATTCCCTCCAGAGAGGGAGCGTGGTCAGACAAAGCTAATTTGCATATTTAAAGCTACAGACACAGAAACAGCCTGTTCTGAGCAGGGCGGAAATAGAGGGGTTTATAGGCATGATCAAATACAGGATCAGAGTGGATTTAGAGCAAGAAACTTCACAGACATGTTTTGGGGAGCTCTGAGACTTATTTAAACAGGTTGGAAAGGAGGACAGTATGTGACCTTTAAATTACACACATTGAGAAGAGATCTGATAATTTATGTTTAGGATAAAACTCCACAGGATGGACAACAACTCCAACACATCACATGCTGTTTATAGACAGATTTGAGAAAAAGTGAAACTCTATTCTTATCTACACTTTACATTTTATTCTTTTTGTGTGTGCTGTTGCTGGTGTTTTAATGAGAAAGTGCTTTGTTAAAGGGTTTGAGCCAAAAAGTAACACACACACACACACACACACACACACACACACACACACACACACACACACACACACACACACACACACACACACACACAGAAAAATAGACAGGCAGTCTTTGTTGAGCGTGGGAAAATGTTTGGAGAGACTAATTAGAGCTGCTCAGGCTTGGGAGGCTCTATTGATGCTCACACACTCATGTCTCTGCCCCCCCCCCCCCCCCTTTTCCAGGTCTCTGGGAAACAGTCAGACCGAACAGGAACCATCCGGAAACACGGAGCCTCCGTCAGGTTCTGCTTTATTCTACTCTGTTCTATCAGTGACAACTTCCTGTTTCGTATCATACATCTCTAACAGGAAGTCTGACTGTGCATGTGTGTGGGTTTATCATGCGTGTGTGTCTGTGTGTGTGTTTCAGGTCCAACAAATCCCTGGAGCCGGTTCAGTGCCCGGTGGCACCCCCTGTCACTGGGTAATGACCTAAAATATTTATTTGTACATCCACTTTCAGATCCTCAGTCTGGTATCACTTCTTCAGAGTGCAGCATCACAATGTGTCATAAACCTGCTTTATCTCTAACGGCCACCAGGGGGAGACTACACTGATTGCAATAAGGCTCTGGACTGTATTACAGGGGACATATTATGAAAAATCCACTTTTACAGTGTTTTTGAACATTTATTTGGGTAACCTGAGTGTCTACTGACCCACAAAATCCAGTCCTTTGTTTGTGCTCTGCATAAGTCTTACAACACAGAGGAAAATACTCCGTTTCAAATTTGCTCAACTTGTGACATCACAAGTCGGATTCCGGTAAAAAAAAAAAACTCCCCTCCCCTGATATCACCACCCATGGAGGAAAAGTTCTTGTGTGTTGTCACAGAGAAGCTCAGGTTGTTTTCTAATTGTCTGACAACAGTACAGAAAGGATCCCAAAAGATTGTCTTTTAATTGAAAGAAAGAAGATTTTTTTTTATCCAGGAAAAGCGCATATTCCCCTCTTCAAAGCTTCTGGAAAAAGTTATTTTACCTCACAAATCTGAGGAGTTGCAGGTCTACTGCTGCCTCGATCAGTTAGATTTCTTCTATTGGTGTGTATGTGACTTCCTGTGCTTCTGCAGCCAGCCTCTAGTGGACACTCGAGGAACTGCCGGATTTTGCACTTCCGCATCGGCTTCAGTTTTCAACGAGGGAGGTTGCCACTTGCTCCTGTTGTTATCCTTTTTTTTAATTTTATTTTTTACTGGCTCATCTGCATCATGTGTAATGCTGTTCATGGAGTCACATTTCTTCTAAGGCTCTCATTGGCTATTGCGGTCTAAAACAGTGAAAGGACGGTCCTGATTGGTGACATAATGGCCAGTTACTGAAAAACTTGTTAGTGTTGTTTGAGTTTATTCTGGCATAATTGCATAAAAGCTTGAATAAAGGAGGCCTCACATTTACCTTTACCTTATATTTACTGATATTGTCAAAAGATTTGACTCTCTTGACAATACGGATTTTATTGATTATTCCTCTCTCAGCTCCAGTTTCGGGAAACCTGTTGCTCCGCCCACTATTCCCACCACCTACCCGGCCACACCTGAGTGTGACATCATCCCTGTCCTCCTGGACGATGCTCCGCCTCCTCCTCCTCCTCCTCCTCCGCACGCTGCGAATGGAATATCAAGTCTGGATGAGGAGGTTAATAACTCCTCCATCCCACCACCACCTCCACCTCCTCCATCTGACTCATCAGTACTAATGGCGGCACCGCCCCCTCCTCCTCCTCCACCGGAGTCATCAGGAGCATTGATGGCTCCAGTTGCTCCGCCCCTTCCTCCTACAACACATGGTTCATCGGGAGTAATGGTGGCACCAGTGGCTCCACCCCCTCCTCCTCCTCCCCTCAACGGGGCTCCCCGCTGAGCCTGGAGACAGGTGAGGTTATACAACATCCATAGATCCAAGAAAACCTTGGAGAATAGTCATCAAACAGAAATGAAGCAGAGTTCTTTGACATCTTGAAGTTAATTGGATTGAACACTTGACACACCCCTGCTGTTCAGAAACCATTCTGGTGTAACAATTTTTGATTGTTACCCCGGTTAATCCTTTACATGTTATATTATATTATACTACATTATATTATATAACTGCACTCTGCATTACTGTGGTACAACACTGCCTCTCTTCTCTGCTGTTTACATTACTTGCTGCTATTTATCATACCAAGTCACTTTAATCATTACTTGTCACTTTATCTTTTCATTCTCTGCAAATACTGCCTCGATTCTCAATTCCCCCCAGTTAACTTCATCATTCATTTTGTACCCCCTGTTTTTATTTTTATTTATCTTATCTATTCTGTTTAATGTGTATTTTGTATTTTGAGCTTTCTTGTCTGTGCCGCTGCAACGCCCGAATTCTGGGGATCAATAAAGCATTATCCTATCCTATCCTATCACGATGACATCATACTCTGTCTATCTCCTCAGTATTGGAGGAGATCAGCCTCCCACCTCCCTCTCCTCTTCCTCCCCCACCTGATGATGACAGCTTCCCTATGCTACCCAGTGACGGCTCAGAACTTCCGGCCCCGCCCCCTCCACCTCCATCCAGCCAGGATTTAGAGGGTACCTGTCTGTCAACACAAAAACCATCTGATCAAGTTGTCGGTTACTTAAAGTGTTCTTGGTTCTTGTTGGTGATGAACACAGCTTCTGATGGGATGCTCATTTTAAACATGACAAATATGTTGTGCTGTCTGTTAGACACACAAACACAATGAAGTGCTGCTGTTGAAATGTGAAATCTAATCACTATTTATAGGTATCCATGAGTGCTTTTCCGTTTTTATTTATAGTCTGATGTTTGCTTGTGTCAAATCCTCTGCAAGCTTAATGTGAGCTCTCAGCTGTGGACTAAAGCATCGTGCCCACTCTGAAGCAGGAGCTAAAAAGGTTCCTCTAAATGCGGTTCTTAGAACTAAAATAGTTCATAGTTCCTGCAGTGCAGAATCAGTAAAAAAGGGGGAGGGTTCCAACGGTTCCTGCGGTCCGTAAACGCTTATGATGTCATGACACAAAAAGGTGACTAAGCTGCTGATAAACATTATAATGTAAAGCATAAACGACCATTGAAGCACGCAGCAGCCATGTTAGAGTTTAACTCCGACTCCTGAAGGTTTTCCAAGTTTCCAAGTCGGACTTCCAACTTCAGGGAGCACCATTATACTGTTCACATGTTTTAATGACGTGAAACGTAGTACAGCAGTGTTCATGAAGGCACTGAAGGAAACAGTCAACTTCATTTATTTAATTTCCAATCACGCAGAGAAACAGAAACTGACTCAAAGCTCAGAGTTAGAAAAGGACCTCAACTGTTTGATTTAAGTCTGTTCTTCCTTTTTTCTCTATTTTCTGATTTTTTTATTTGAAGTTCTTCTTTCGCTGGTATGTTTTCTGATGCTTCCTCCCTCAGTCTGTCCTTCTGTGTTGTCTTTCTTTCAAGTTTCTTCTTCTGTGTTTTTTTTCCCCCCCTTCTTCAGTGACCCTCCCTACCAGGAGGAGCCGCCGCCGTCGCTCGCCCCCCACCACTCGCTCTCTCTCTATGAGGGTCCGCTCTGGCCCCGCCTCCCGCTGCCGCCACACACGCTCTCTCTTTCTGCCTGCTGTCCAGTCATGTAAGCCAACGCAGGGATGCCACCAATAAAACTCAGCTGAAGAATATACCAAAAATAATGAAAAGTCGTAGTTTGTTATTGTGTCGAGCTTGCAGAACAGAATAGAAATACATTTTTAGGGACTCCAGGAGTAATTGAGATATTTCAAAGAATCCTTGAGATGTTTAAAAACTGTATTTGCAGAAAATCAAGGTGTCCCTAAGAGGGTTTTGGATGTCTGAGTGCTGTTTCTGTTTAGTGTATTTGGAGATGGTGTGTTAGTTTGTCACCGTGCTCTCGGGAGGTTTCAGTAGTTTCCAGGGGTCCTCGAGGATATTAGGGGTAATAAGTAAGTTCTAAGAGTTCTTGAGGAAGTCCTATGAGTGCCTGAAGAGCATAAGCATGAGTTTTCTGCAGCAGATGAACCATCAAGGTGTGGATTTCGATACTCTTTGTGTAATCTTGGAGAAAATCCTTGGACCCCGAGAGGTTTTGATCATTACATAGTAAATTCTCGTTTTGGAACTTCCAAGGGTCCCGAAGGAACTTCTAGAAGTGCTTACAGAACCTTCAAGGAATCCTTTAAAAGGTGCCATTACCGTTTGAGTCTTTGAGGGGTTCATTGGGGACTTGTGGAGGTTTTAGGCTTTATTTACATCTTTAATAAGGTTGTAGACGTTCTCTAATAGGTTTCATGTCATACTTAATAAAGTATAAATAACGATAATGTTTCTGAGATTGTCTATTAACGCAGATGATCACTCCCCCTCTTCAATTTAATCATGCAGTTCCTTCAGGCGAGGCATCGGCCCTTTTTGTCAGTGCTATACTTGTTCTTAGATTCTGTCTGTCTGTCTATCTGTCCGTCAGTGATGATCCCCCCTCCTCCCCCCTACCCTCCCCCAAATGCTCCTCCTCACCCCTCCTCCTCCTCCTCCTCTTCTTCCTCCTCCTCCTCCTCGCCTCGGCTCTGCTTACCTGCTCGCCTCGAACACCTGGGTAAGAAAACGCAAAGTGTTGGTATGTAGTTGGTATATCATAACTGATAGTAGAAGTGATAGATGCAGTATTAACCAAACTGTTCACACTTAGACGTAGCAGTACTATCTGTAGTTCTGTTCACAGTCATAATCATCAACTCTAGTTAAACAGTTGTAATACACATCATAAAAGCTCCGCTACTTCCTGTCAAAGCTCCGCCTCCTCAATCATGATTGGCACTTCCCCGCTGTCACTTACTAGACATTTTGTGCTGTTCTCTTAGATCTAGAGATCCCATCTACGCCCCCTCCGCCTCTGTTCGATGACATGGGTGTTTTTGATGACATCATGCCACCTCTCCCTCCACCAGTGGACTACGACATGGACGCCCCCCCACAGTACCTTGAGAAAGGTATAGTTCAACAACTATTACTGCTTTCATTCTCAGGACCAAATCCTCAGAATTCCCCTCCATTACGATTACAGGATCAGGTGCAGCGCTGTACCAGCTTGCTTGTTTTTGAGACTGCCCCTTTAAGACGTAATATTTACACCAATAGCTCCAGTTAATCAGGCAGTTTGCGCAAGTCCCTTAACTGCAGTTCTCCTATTTGCCCAGTGGTGGTGCTGTACAGCTATGAGGCCTCCAAACCGGACGACCTCTCCATGGCAGAGGGCGACATCATCTACCTGACACATCGTCATGACAACGGCTGGTGTGAGGGCTTTCTCAATGGGAACAGAGGCTTCTTCCCTTCAAACTACATCCAGTCATGTGGCTAGACCGAAGCCCCGCCCTCAATCTGTGGCTTCACAAGGATTTGTTATATTATTGTAAACTTATCAATCAGTGTTTTAATATTTATCTGAACTTCTGCCCCACGGTGGTACAAAACTGTAACAACAGGTACCCAAGAATTGAATAGTATTTATATAAGTTAATGTTTTAAAGGAGCAATATGTAACTCTGACTCGTAGCATTTAAAAAGAAAATACTTCATCCCAAATTCAAAACATTGGAGAGAGCTGCCTCCCCTCCTCCCTACAGTCTTCACGGACAGGGAAGCTTCAGTGTTTATCCAGCTCTGCATCGGTCTTGAAACATTTCCGCGTTCTATCTCTGATATTTATCCTAGTTTTACCACGTTTCTGCTCGTGGAGCTTATTAGAAACATGCCGAAGCTTTTTAAGTCGGATAGAATCAGTGAAATCTGAACCAGTTCGCTTCCATCGCTGCAACACCTGTTGGTTTGTGTGTGGGCGTGGCTTAAAAAAGCCTACCTTCTCTGGTCAAAAGAAAACCAAACCATTCAGGACCAGAATATAAACTTGCCAGAGAAATCGGAAATACAACATAGCATGTTTCCTTAATTTCTGATGATATAGTAAGGTCATTTTATGATTTAATTCAGTAGATATATTACGTACTGCTCCTTTAAGCAGCTCGTTAAAGCGGTATTAACAACATTACAGAGCTGAATTTGTTATAGGAACATTTTACTTAAAAAAAAAAGAAAAACGGCAATAATGCACAATGTCAAACACAATTAAAACAATATATTCAGATTTAATACATGCATAGCCAACATAATTATATGTTTGAAATCAAGTGTAAATGTAGTTCTGTTGTATTTAAATAAAGTGTAGACCACTTTTGTGATGGGCAGAAAAAATGTAACTTTTGCTTCAACAGGAATTTGTAAAGCAGTGTTCTTTGACTGTGATTATTGACTGCCTGTCAGTCTGAACTGAGGGCCACAGTGCCCCCTGCAGGCCGCAAACACAAACTACACAGTGCAAAGCTTTCACTGTTAATTCTCTGGTTAATAATTCTATACTTTTGTACTTCATTATTAATGAAACTATTGTTGAGGTTATTGATTAATTTTAACATCATTATTGTTTCATGAGTCTTTGACTAAATGTTTCATCAACATTTTTCTTTTTTGTGTGTGCATACGTTTGATATTATAAATTGTTACGGATGCATTAAAAAAAACAAAAAATAATCCTGTTCAAAATGTCCTGGCTATATATTAGTTTGAGCAGGTAATGCTGGATACTTTTAATGGAGTCCTCCTTTTTATGATAGAAATTGCACTTGCATCCTAATATGGTCCCTTCATGCACATTTTAGGTCAAAATGAACAATAGACATAAAAAAAAAACATGTTTCATGAATGTATTCCCCCAATTAACACACATTTTCTTAATTAAATACAGAATACAAAAGTTAATATGAACAATATTTTTATTTCTGTCACTTATAAAAACAATTCAAGTAAAAAATCAGACTCAGTCTTTAAATATAACACTATAACAGTTCATCAAATAAATAGAAGAGCACTTTGTTAATAAATAGAAACATGATAAATAAATAAATAAATAGAAGGAATGTAGAAACCAGCAAAGTCTCTCACAGAGAAAAAGATCAAAAACAGAAATGAATAAATCAGTTTGATGAGACATGCTGATGTTGATGTTGAGTCGGTGTATTGCGCCTCCTGCTGGCAGCTCCTGAAGCTTTGATGAAGCTCACCAGCACATCGAGGTGATCCAGATTTAGTTTGGTTTCCTTCCTGATCAGCTCCCAGGACGCTGCACTACCCCCCTGTACACACAGTGATACAGTCAGCAACTTTTATTCTATTCATGTAATGTTAAAGTCAGTGCCACTACTTGTACTTACGGTGCGGTTAAGAGTACAGCTCAGTCTCCTGTAGTAATTTCTCAGTTGTCTCTTGTAGTTAGTTTTCTGTTTATTTTTCATTCGCCTGCCAGTCATCACCTGAAATCAAAAACAAGGCAATTGTTTGAAAGATGTTAAGATTTTAGTTTAACTAGCCGTTAGCCGCTAGAAGATTTGCAGCGTTGGCAGTGAACGGAGAAATGTTGGCGAAGAAGTTGAAGTCTTAGCCTTGAAAGAAGTGAAAGTCTTAATGATAAAGGGCGGTGTTAGTAGGGAAATGAGTAGAAGTGTCAGCCACTTGAAGAATTGAAGTGAGAGCCTTGAAAGTGTTAGCAGTGAAATTAGTTGAGGGGTTAGCTGCTAAAAGATTTCAAGTGTTAGCATAGAATTGAGTTAAGATGTTTGCAGTGTAAGTTAGTGTAGCCTTGAAAGAAGAATGAAAGTTTTAGCAGTGAACGGAAATTCTGTTTAAGCCATAAACAGTGGAAGTGTTTGCCTTGAGACGAGTTGAAGCATTAGCTTGTAAAAGAATGAAAATGTTCGCTGTAGAAGGCGTTGAAGTGTTAGCAGGGAAAGGAGGTGTGAGTTTGTTCTTACAGTGCGGTCCAGAATACTTCTGGTCAGCCTCCTGTTGCAATTTCTCAGTTTCACGTCTACTCGTCTGCTAGTAGAAGACACCTGAAGCCAAAACCAACGGGACAAATTAATATCTTCGTTTTTTGGTTAAAACCTCAAGTTGCACAAATTAAAAGTTAGCTGCTGGAACTAACAGATACAAATACAAATAGTGTGACAGATAGTGGAACAACTTCGCCCCACCATTCTGCCCGCAATGAGTCACATGTTGCACATGCGGCGTCATAGCGGCCTAAATATCATGCGTTGTGGTGGCTTCTGAATTATCATAGAAAAGAACTGACGAGGAACTAAACTTACAGCTTTGAAAGAAGTCTAACTGTAGCTACTAGAATGAAATTGTTGGTTGCGAAAAGAAGTTAAAGTGTTGGCAGCTAAAAGAATGAAAACATTTAGCAATGAAAGGACTTGAAGGGATTAACAGTGTACCAGGTCGGTTAACCTTCAAGGTGTTGGCAGTTTGAGAAACTGAATAGTAAACACTAAAAGAGTGAACGTTTCTTTCTCTCCATCAGTCTGTCTACTTACACATCGGCTCAATTCCTCTGCCTGTCTGTGGATGATCGCCTGGAAGTCTTCCAATTTTTTGGTATTCCAGGTAACTGAGGTGAGGTTGTCATGGTGATATAGACCAGAAATTAGGTCTAGACTGTCTCTAATGAAAACCAACTGGGACTCCACCTGGAGAGAGAGAGAGAGGGGTGAGTTATAGCTTGCTGATTGAATAATCTGATGACAGACATAATTTCTCAATGGTAACTTGAAAAATGATATACTACCAGAGTGCATACTTTATCTGAATGGATGTAAGATAGATAGATGGATTACCTCAGCCTTACGTACGCGGCTGTAAAGTCTGTCTGGAAAGCGAACTGGACTCGGTTGTTTTGTCAACGGACCGCCCTGAAACATTAAGACATAAATGACACTTTATTTAACCACCATCACACAAAAGTCATAAAAGTTTTATGCACTTTTAAATGTTTGTTTTATATGTAAATATTCGGTTTATACAGATGTTGCATGCGTTATCTGTTTTTAGATTTACATAAGGAAAAATGTGAGCTCTTTATATCCACGTTTGATCTGTATGAGCAGTTATTTCCTATCTTGCATTTATGGGAAAACAAAAACTTGAACTTTGTCAAAACGTCTTCAAGGAGTCCTTAATTGTGCTCAGGGAAGCCTCCAGGACCCGGGGTCAGTGCAGTTCTGTTGGACTTACCATGTGTTGAATGAGATCCAGAGATAGGCCGCTGAGGTGACCAAAGCGTCTGCTAATCCAATCACAGCCGAGGGTCGGGGTCAACACGCTGCAGAGGACAAAGAGCAGGCAGGTCAGTCTGGACATGATGATGCTGAAGAAGGAGATGAGTTTGATGATTGCCGGCTGCAGACTGAGCTGTGTGTGAACATGCTGCTGGTCTGAGTTCATTTTAATTCCAAACAGGAAAGAGAAAACAAAGTAGAGTGAAAGGCAGAAAGTCCCACAGTGTTTCTACTCTCCCTTTCCAGATGTACACACAAACACACAGGGGCGCGCGCCCACACACACACACACACACACACACACACACACACACACACACACACACACACACACACACACTTTCATTTGAGGATTTTATTGATCTCTTTAAGATGAAATCTGTTGGATAAAGTATTAAGATTGTGTATTGCAAAAAAAGTGTCACACAGTACTCTTTCACAAGTAAATCAGATATCAGTGAAAGTATAGAAGGGTTATCTAATAAATACTATATAATGCAAATGTGTGTTGATATTATATTATTTCTTTTTAAAATGTTTTTAAAGAATTTGAATTGAAAGAAAATTTGCTCCTCAAGTTCAAGTTCAAGTTATCTTTATTAGTCAAATGCACAACATTACAGGCAAAGCAGTCATAGCTGGCAATGAAATTTTTGTGTTCCAAGCTCTCCTTAACAATGCAAAAATAAAAAATAAAAAATAAAATAAAAATTATAAAAATAAATATATAAATACATAAAATAAATAAATAAAATAAAATAAAATAAAATAAATAAAGTAAAGTAAAGTAAAGTAAAGTAAAGTAAAGTAAAGTAAAGTAAAGTAAAATAAAATAAAATAATATAAAATAAAATAAAATAAAATAAAATAAATAAAAAATAGTATAGATCCTGCTTCCAGTCTCACAATAAACAGACAATGTTGTTCAGTAAGTTTAAGACACATACATTAAAGCGGTGTAAAATGACTGACAGAACAAGATATTTTTATTTATTTTTTATTTAAATAATTAACGTCCAGTTGATGTAAGTTCAGTGAAACAGCAGGATGAACCATGAAACATGAGAAAAAGATCCTATCATCATGATTTTAAGATGATTTAATTGAAGGAAGTGAATATTCAAACTCCATCCTTCAAACAGTTTTTCGGTTCATGTGGAAAGTTTATTTAGCACTGTGGAAGTCCCTCCACTTTCACTTTCCAAAGCGCTCCCCCACAAACAGGCCTTCAAAATAAAAGCTGACACTGCCTGCCTCTCCAAACAGAGGAGTAGAGATTCAAATATGGAGCTAAACAAAAGTGTTCGAGTGAGATATCAGTGAACTGGCACATTAAACAACATGCTCAGTAAGTGTAAAAGTGGCGTGCTTTTATTTTGAAGGCAACACTTCATCTGCTTCCTGACGGCTGATTTCATCCTTGTTTTCGTTTTCTGTCGCCTCGTTTTCGCTTTCCTGTCGTCTAGGAAACAGCCGCTGATGATGCAACGCTGTGTGATGTCATCCTGTCATCATGAGGTAAAAACACACTCAAAAAAGAAAGTTAGAAATGTTTTCGATCTTCAGATTGAATCAGAGCTCAACAAGAGTGAATCAACATGAAGTCATATTTAAGAAAGACAGCAGAATGTAGATTAGTGATAGAGCAGTGCTACTGATGTGACCAGGTGAGGTGAACAGCTGATAATTATAAGACAATTAGTGAGCATGCACGGAGGAGTATTTGACCCCACCTGAGAATGAACAATAAAACCAGCATGCAGAAAATGACTTTTGCTAGAGCAACATTAAGCCTACTTAAGATACTAGTGGCGGTTCTAGAGTCTATTTGAGGCCCTTGACAAAATTTAATTGGGGGCCCCTCCAACCAGCGTCCCTCATGTCTGCCAGTATCCCCACAGATATGCCCCTTTTTTCTCTCCTATACTCAGGATATTCTTCATATTCATCTTTCTTTGTTGAATTTCATTGACACTTAGCAGGGCAACGACAGTGAGTACTGTCAGATGTGCCCCCCCCCCCCTCAGGAAGGTTCCTACTGTCACTGGGAGCCACTGCTGCTGTAGTTTAAAGTTTCTCAGCACCTCAGGGTCCCCCCCTACTGGCCAAGGGGTCCCATTATAGGCGTATTACAGAGGAGTTTGTTGATCGGGAGCACTTCCTGTTTGAAGGAAGCAGAGATTGAGACTGTCTGCTGAGAGTGACACGGCTGACGGACAAGGTGAGTCTCAGACGTTTTTTTTTTTTTTTTTGTGTATTTCTGTGTCTCTCTTTGTTGTTCTCTCTTTGCCGGGTCCGGAGTCTGGGTCCGGTGAGTTGTTGACTGGCGGGACTGTCCCGGGGATAACGCGGAAATAACTTAGGTGTGGATGATGAGGTTCAGTTTCGGATGGACTTCTGTCAGTCTGACACCACACACAGACGCAGGGGTCATCAGGTCAAGGTGTGCCCCGGAGCAGCAGACTCCAGAACAGCTGCTTCTTTCTGTCAGACTCCCTCAGCCGAATCTAAAATCCTCAGTTTTCCCTATGAGGTTTTGTACTGAAAGTAACGGTGCTGTAGCCTACAGCTTTTCGCCTCCTCCCACAATAGGTTAAAAACAATTATTTAATCAGTTATTTGTCGTGCTATTATCTCACTGCTTAATTAGTTATTTCATTTAAAATATTGTATTTATATTGTATTTAACCTCTTTGTCATATAGCAATGAGTAGGCCTTATCTGCTTTTTGTAAAGTGTCTCGAGATAACACTTGTGATGATGGTGCTGTACATTGATTTTCAAATGGAGACATGGCCATGACAGAGACACATAAAAAGGGAGACAAAGTACAATTTACATACTTTACCACTAGAATTTGCATTAAAAGAGAACCATCTACTAGTTAAAGTAGACTAGAGCTCAGAGAGGTTTCATCCAGTGAGCTTTCACTGAAGCGTGTTTGTTTCAGCAATCTGACCTGCACGTTTTACAGTGTAAACATCAACATGTGTCTTGTAACTACAGATAATCGACACACTCGATTTTGGGGAGAAAAAACATCAGATACCTATAAATTGGCCGATATCTTTCTTTTTTTCTTTTTTCTTTTTATTAGGTGATGCAGAACAATACAAGACGAGTGAGGGACATGACAAGAGCAAGTAGTATGTAGGAGACAGAGGAGACACGACGATACAATGCACAGCATAGACAGAGACAAAACAGGCAAGCCGGGAGTAATATTAATGTTTAGCATTTGATTCAAGTGCATGCTTGCATTTTCTTTTTTCGTTCCTCTTTTTCATCTTTATTCCTTTTTTTCTTCTTCCCCTTTCCTCCTTTCCTTCCCCTCTTTCTAAGATCTATTTTAGCTCTATAGTGATATATACTGTGTGTATATATATATATATATATATATATATATACACATTTATTGTGTTGATCCCTCAAGTGCAGTTCTCAAACACCTGTGGAAAAAGATATAATGAAGACAGAATGATCTCTAAACTGAGCGTTCTATGCGCATCACTGCTGGTGACAGCACTCGAGCCCAAACAAGTTGTGTTTCTGGTGATTATTATAAAAAAAAGAAGTCCTTTTGGATTGTGTTTGAACATTACTGTGTCAAATTCTAAGTTGGTTTAAAGATGGTTTTTCTAAAAAGTGACAGCACTAACACAAAGAGACATTACACTATGTCACTGGGCTGATCTAAAGACATTATCATTTCATTCTCTGAGTCAAAAGGAAAAAGCTTGGTGCTGTTTGGCCATGCAGTTTGCCATCGTAATTCACATTCACAGCTGATATTTGCATGTTTCCTGTGTTCAGACTCAGGACCAAGCCTTATGACCCCCACATACATACGGCTATCTGCTGGCAGAAGTACTTTACTGGAAAGAACAAGCTTACTATCTTTACAAAGCTGGGTTAAGTGTTGTTCAAAAGAGACCTTTTATCAGTGATATCCCCCTCCACAGATATATATATATATATATATATATATATATACATATACGCACTTTCTGTAATAAAATAGCCTGTTAAGATATTCGTCCTTATTTCTATTATATTCATAGAGTGTATAATAGGTGCATAAGACAGAAAATGAAAGATTCGACAAGATAACAGACAAGAAAAACTGTGTGAAAATATTGCAAGAAGACGAGGAACTACATAAATAGCATGACCACCATGATGCAGCATTTAACCCGACACCACAATGAGAAGTTCCTCTTTGTTTATTTGTTTATTTTTACCCGATAACGTTGTTGGCTTTCCACTTGAGAGATTGCAGCTGTTTGTAATGACGAGCAGACGGTTTATTTTACCTTTTGGAAAATAATACGCCCATCTGGGAGGAGACCCCGGGGTAGACCCAGAGTTCGCTGGAGGGATTATATAGCCCTTCTAAGATAAGATAAGATAATCCTTTATTTATCCCACAACGGGGAAATTTCCAGTGTTACAGCAGCAAAGAGCAAAGATTGCAAACAGAAAGTGAACACAGTACAATTTAAAGAAAAAAAGAAAAATTAAAAATGTACAAAAAAACAGATACTAAAAAATAATTTTTTAAAAAGTCTTTAAAGTTTAAGAAACAAATTCTAGTCTGGGAACACCTCAATTTTTTGTGAGCAGGTAACTTTACTAGTTCAACCCGCTCTATAAGTTCTCTCATTTTCTTAAATAAACACCAGAAACACATGATGTCGTTCTGTAGGAAACATGGTTAACTACCTAATGCGTCAGCTAATCATTAGCTGCGGGCGCAGACTGAATTTACTCCAGCTCCACCTTGTCCAAATACAGTCACTTCTGGCTGAAGAAAAACAATCATGGCGACTAAAAAACTGTCAAACTCTTCCATTAGGTTGTCGACAAACCAAGGGGTGAAGTCAAATTGGTTTTCTCCGTTGTGTATATATAGGCTATACAGTTTATGGTGACTGATTAGGAAGTAATATACTCTGTTTGTTCTGCTGTATGAGAACACAGAGAGATGTTCTCTGGTGTTTTATCTCTCCTGTTTATGATTGGTCTGAGCTCTTCTGTTTTCACAGTTCATTGGAAACAAACTGCACTCTACCTGTACTGAAGCCTGATCACAGGTATTAGTGAGATACATGATTAACTTTAGTTATATAGTAACACACTGATCTACCTGTTTGCCTGAACCTCACCCTCTTCTCATCTCTGTAAATATTGCTGCTTGCTCCACCTTCCTTTTGCTGGACACGCATGAGCTCTCCTTCATAGGCTACAGGATCTGCCAGAGAGTAACTACACATTCCCCTGAACAAAGACCACGATTAGTCAGGACAAACAGACTCTCACCACTCCTTACAGAAACAGAGCAGGAATCCATCAGTTTATACCTGCTGGATTTGGACTCAGTGTGGACCTGGTTTTTAGTGGACCTGGTTTGGATAAGAAATTCAGCGCCCAAGGATCCGGACTATCCTGGCCTTAATCTGACGATGCAATGCAAGCTTCAAAGGGCAGATGTGTGACTGTGATCCTGCTGACGACTCTGCTGCTGATGGGGTGAGTACAAAAATATTACAACTACTACTTCGTCTACTTTTACTTTTTATTGTTATTTGTTATTGTTATATAGTTATACTGCATAGAGGAGTCTTCTTGCAGTAACAGTCTAAAGTGGTGAGAGAACAGTGTGCCTCACTACTGGTATCGAGACGGCAAACGATCAGTATCACTGACATAAAAATACCTGACAAAAATAAAAAAAATAAAGCGGTGATTGCCAAAGTGTGGATAGTGTCCTCTTGGTGGGCAGTTAGTGATAATTTGACAATAAATAAAGAGACTTTTTTTTCTTTCTCAATTTGTATTCCTACACAACCATATATAGCAAAAGTTACTGTATCTAAGGACACTTTACATAAAGGGCATTGTGTACTATGATCCAACTAAATCCATGATGACAGATTGGTGCGATTGGTGGTTCTCCTTATTTGTCGCCTACGCCTCTTCTTTTCTTTTTCCACTAAAAGACCAAGAGCTGACAACGCCAACGCCATTTTCAACTTTTTATCAGACATTATTCTCCATTAGAAGGCTACCTGTAATACGAGTGGTGACCGACAGCGGTGTGAAAATGGTCTTCTCCTATCATAACAACAGACTACCGCCACCTGCTGGCATGAGGAGTTATTTCCTCAAATTGCTGTAATGGACCAATCAGAATGGAGTATCCAACTAAGCTGAGCCTGTTCACCTGTTGTCAATGGACTTATTGTGTGTCTGTTTTTAAATCCACAGGATGCTGTATGTCTACTTTGGCCCGCCACTAAGGTAACTCACATTAATTCACAACGTAGCCTAAGAGTGTCAAAGTCCATATTCATATATCGACGAGATCATATTGTTGAAGTAAGGATCAGTGTTGTTACTCACAGCCTATCTCGGACTCACTGTCAGAGCATTTACAGACACACAGACAAGAAAAACATGGAGAAATATTGTTATAGATTAATATAGAAAAAGTGTTTTAAGTTTTTAATCCATCATTCAGTTGATCAGTTCAGCCGTGGTCCTCACAGAGGTTGTTGTTTTTGACGTTATGTGTGTCTGTGTTGCTGGGTCTTTGTTGTCTTTGTGTCCTTTTGAGCAGCATTGTGTGGTGTTGACTGACGGGTTTAAAAGCACTCACTCACTTCTAACCTGCTGCTATGTGACGGTCTGCTCTGCTCAGTCACAGAACGAGCGGCCACAAATTAATATATGACGAACACTGAACCAGCTTACAAGCCAGAGATGATTAGCATAGGTACCTGCTAATTAATGCTAACTATGAACCAATTGCTAGTGTCAGTCACTGTAAAAACTGGAGCACAGACTTCTTGGTAGTACAATAAACCACACAGAAACTGATTATTTGTCGGACATTCAAATTAAGTAATCCACGCAAGCATCACAAACACGGCCTAGAGGTGAAGTTCAGAGGCTGAATTTGCTGAGTAGACACCCTGCAGATGGTTAGCACCATCCCACCTGTCAATCAAAGGGGCCATGCCGCTAATTTAACAAAACTTTAAGGGCTAAAATGTTTTTTAAAAGATCAGTCACATAGAATTTCAGCCCCCAAACAGTTGTACTGAATAGAGAAAATGACTACCAAGTTTATCAGGTTTATTTCTGCTGTCAAGTTGTACATTTCAACATGGGGCTGTATGGAGATTGACTCACTTTTGGAGCTAGCCTCAAGTGGACACTTGAGGAACTGCAGGTTGGCAGATTCCTCCAAACTTAACCGTTGATGTTGATGTTTGCTTTGGACTTGGGTGTGAAATTATTTTTTATAGGGGCGAGGTTGACAAGTTCTGATTCTTTAAGGTAACCTTAAGTCAACACAGGCGATAAGGATTAGAACTTCAAGGTTGTTCAAACCAGCTCAGACAAATTAACCTGCGACACTTGTCAAACCTCAAATACAAAACACATTTGTGTGTTTTAATCATGTGCTGCTATGAGAAGATTTAAGGACAGGTTGTTGTAGACATATTTCCTTTTGCACTGCAGCTGTTTTTAATCATCATTCTGTCTTTCTGTAGCCGTCTGCTCTGCTCTAAGTTTACAGGAGGAAACATCTGCATTATAAAGCCTAATATCCAAGCAGGTTTTTCCATGTAACTTGGCTCATTTCTAACACAGTGACAATTCTGATAGATACTGGAAATATTTTTGAAGTCTTGTAAGTTGTTTCCCGTCCGTCTACATGTCAACTGTATTTCGGCTCAGTGTAAAACACAAATTAATTTATTGTTCCTGGTTTTTAAATGAATTTGTGTGTTGTTTATTTTGCCTTGGTTGTTACAAAGAATAAATAGAAAATGTGGTGCATCACATTAATGTTTTTATTACATGTATTTGAACTGATGTTTTTAATGTAAACTGACATGATGGTTTTTCATTAAATTATATTTTATGATTAACATTCAAAAGAATCTGCTAGTGTCCCCTGCAGTACTCCAAAGTACCCCTAGGGGAACTCTACCCCCCTTAAAGACACACTGCCCCAACTTATGATTCTGTTATAACAGAAAAAACTGAGAACTTTATCAATTCAGTTACAGCTGAAAAAAGTAACACTTCATCTGATTCCTCACAAAGTGAATTCAACCTTCATAAACAGTTTTTATATTAAACATTGATTGGTTGCCTGACTGCAAAACTTTGTATCTGCTGCAGAAAAGAGGTCGTCATAAGTAATCATGAGTTCCACCTGGTGTCTCCTGACCAGTAAGTACACTCATCATCTTCATCATCTTCATCACTGTCACTTAAAGACTGAAAGGGATAACGCAACAATCAAACATTTTAATCGATTGAAGATGTATTTAAGATATCAGGGGTGTTTGAGATATGATATCAAATGGAGAAACCAAGCTAGCTTATGTTGCATTCATGCTAATGACCACATGTCGCTATCTGTTATTTTGTGCTAAAGCCAACGCTGGGACGAAAGAATCAAGAAGCTTTGGGACTACAATCAGTAAGTGACCTCTGCTGGTCTTGTTCTACAGTTATGCTAATGCTAACACGCTTGCTAACTCTACTAACTACAAAGTGTTTGTTGGTCGCTCAGTCTGTAGGGACTTGGGTTGGGAAGCGGAGGGTCGCCGGTTCAATTTGGGAAATTGGTCTGGTAATAAGAGGTGCCAGTCCACTTCCTGAGCACTGCTGAGGTGCCCTTGAGCAAGGCACTGAACCCCAAAACTGCTCTGGTCTCACTCTGAGATCCTGCATGTGTGTATTTCGGCATATGTTCGTGCAGCAAAGCCAAAATTCCCCTCGAGGGATTAATAAAGTATAAATTATTATAATTATAACAGTCCTCTCATAATTCTTTATTTCAGTCTGAGGTACCCACAGCCCAGCATCGTAAAAGGGTAAGTATGAAGATGATCCTGAGGGTCTCTGCACTTTTTGTTTTTTGTTTGTTTGTGATGCCATTGTGTGGCTTTAACTGTAGTCGTACTGATGTGGTGACTCTGACGCCCTGGTTGGCTCCTGTGGTCTGGGAGGGAACATTTAACCCGGATCTTCTCGACAGCATCTACCAGCAACAGGACATTAGCGTAGCAGCCACAGTGTTTGCTGTTGGGAAGTAAGTATGAAGCACTAGTTTACATGCTGCCCTGAATGCAGCATTTCTGCTTGTTCTTTGACCCGGAGATAAGGCCTCTGAATATCTTACAGGTACATCATGTTCCTGAAGAACTTCCTGGAGACAGCAGAGGAGTACTTCTTTGTTGGTTTCAAGGTGCACATTTACGTATTCACTGACCGCCCAGATGAAGTGCCCCAAGTCAAGATGGCCCCCGGCAGACAGGTGGTTAAACAGGCAAAGGAAAGATTGGGCCTGTCTAGAATGTTTAGTAGTTATGAACAAAGGTTTTTCTGATCTCGCTCCAGCTGACAGTGCTCCCGGTGCCCAGCTCCAACCGCTGGCAAGAGATCTCGGCTCGCAGGATGGAACTCATTCAGAAGCTAATCGAGGAGAGGCTACAGGGCCACGGGAAATACATCTTCTGCCTCGATGTGGACTCCAAATTCCACGGCCGCTGGGGAACCGAGTCGCTCGGTGGACTGGTGGCTGTAATACACCCAGGTCAGCAGACGTTACCTAAGTCCATGATCCTCATTTAGCTGTTAAAGATGTAACCTAGGCCCGCCCCCTCTGAACCCGATTCAGATATTGCCCATCGTCGACTGATTGTTGAATGTCTTGTTGTAGGTTTTTTGTGCTCATTGATCCATATTCTCATTTAGGTTCAACAACATAACTATTTGTCTTCAAGACTTGGAACAGTTTGTTCTACAATAGGTGTTCTCTATCCTTTTCCTTACTCATTAACGTGTCCTTATAATGATATTACACATGTCCAATACACTGATGGCCCAGTGTGTGCAAGTCAGTCCACCGCCAAACAAACAAGTGTATTTTAACTCATACCATGTGAAAATTTACGGTACTCTTCTGTTCATTGAAATCCACCAAAAATGGTCTCCACATTTCAAATCAAGCAAAAGATTGAATCCAAATACAATACATCCATAAAGATCCAGGACTGCTTCAGAAAACTTGGCTGTTTTGCTGCCCTCATAACAACTAAGTTAAGCCTTTTTTTTTTTTTTTAAAAGGAGGTGCCTCCTCCTGTTCTGACGGCCAATTGCACGCAACTGTGAAATGTTTTCAATTGAACGTTTGAAGAGTAGATGGAAAGTGTGTGTGATGTTGCTTCTTTTTTTTTTTTTCTGGGACTATGTTTTCAGGTGGAGGGATACTTTCTGATAGCTGAGTGTTGTTTCTTGAACGGTGCCATTTTGTCTCACCATTTTGCCACCATTCCTACCCCATGTTGAGGTCTTTCTTATCTTCCCCTTTATTTGTTAATCCCCATCTGTGAGTGCAGGTTACTACTGGGATCCTCGCAGCAACTTCCCATATGAGCGGAGACCTCAATCGAGAGCCTATGTGGCAGAAGAGGAGGGGGACTTCTACTACTGTGGTGGGGCGTTCGGAGGCAGCCTGGAGGAAGTCCTCCTACTCGCCAAAACCTGCCGTTCAAACTTCGAGGCTGATGCCAAGGAAGGCATTGAGGCTGCTTGGCAGGAAGAGAGTCATCTGAACAGGTAGGCGGAGTCACCTGAGCAGAACTTGACCCTTGATTGCCGTGTTTACAGTTATGACCAGTAGTGGTCTGACTAATAGTTTGATCAGTACTTCCTGTTCCTGTGTACAGGTACATGTGGATCAATAAGCCCAGTAAGGTTCTGTCACCTGAATACCTTTGGCAGGACTTCAAATCCAGAAACTCTGAGATCCACATCATCAGGTTTTCGGGCGTCGTCAAGAACTACGCAGAAATCCGACCCAACGCCTGAAAGTCCCGACTCAACCAGACACGACCTGAATAGACCAGTCTGGATTGGATTGGTCTGGACTTGATTTAAAGCACTTACTACCTTACTAAGGAACCAAAGTTATGGTTTTAAATGATTTTGAAGGATTCTGCATACCTCCCATAACGGGTTCATGGCTGCCTGTCACACACGAAGCAAACCAACAATCCATCCTCAAACCAATTTCTAGTTACATGATTCCAAGCAGCTCTTTTATTTGACCTTAATATAGCCAGGTGAGTCCCACTGAGATCAGAGGTCTCTTTTCTAAGGGAGACCTGGGGGATGTACCATGAAGTGAGATTAGAGGGTAAACCGGGTCTGGTGAGACTGAAGTCACAGTTTTCCGTATTATGGAGCTGGCTCCCTTTCAACCTGGCTAGATCACCATGGTAACTTACTCCAAACTCAAACACTGGTCTAGGGACTAGGTTAGTTTCAGAATAATTAAGTTTATAGTTTTAGTAATTATATGCTGTAAATCATCTCCACTGACAGTGAAGGAAATATGTTGAAGGAAACATTTGGAATCGTATTATTACGTTAGTAATGCCACAGAATGAAGCTTTGCATTTTTGACTAGACCAGACTAGAAACCCTCTAAACAACTCAAGTCCATTTACCATTTACATCAGTAATAAGTGGGAGGTTCCGACAGTTTATCAGATTATTGAATAAGATAATGAATTAATTTATGAATTAACACAAATTCTCTGCAGCATCCCACGTCGCCTGTGCAGCAGCAGTTTTTATTACTGCAATAACTTTTATACGTAATTCTCATCTCTTTTCTTTTTTTCAGACAGTCAGTGATTGTTTGTTTTTAAGTGAAGTGTTGACACCACCGAGGAAAGCCTCCTGTTCTAACACTGTAATGATCCGTCCTCTTCCAGACCACCTTTATATCTGTTGTTTCTTGTTACAGCACCTCAAATGAGCATGTTCACATCTTCATTCACTCTAAAACCTCAGGCTGTTTAACACCAGATAAGTTACAATCTTTCTCATCTCCTTTGTTACGGTTTAGCTGTTTGCATCAGCTGAGCCAAAATGTATCTTTTCTTAGGACTTTTGAGGATCTAATCACTGCACTTCGTATATCAAACTACCATTACGAACATATAGGGCTAGTTTAAGAGGTTGCTTGTGGTAACAGTTATTAACTCTCGTTTCATTTACCAAAGAAAACAACAAATCATATACCTGTGTTCCATCAAAGACGTGAAACAGCGACCACATTTGTATTAATTTACTGCCATTCATTTACTGAGGCAGTTTACTCTCTCTGTGTGCCTTTGAATTGCCCCCCCGGGGACAAAAAAAGTTTTTATATTCAATTTAATTAATAACCTCTGTCTGCCTTTTGGGGGGTTTGTGTATAGAGAGGGCTAAAGCAAGAAAGCTAACATGTTGATGAGACCTAGCCAGAGACTTAGACACAGGTTTTCTCTCAGGCTGTGGTTTGTCATAGAAATACATCAACAACTGGAACATCCAAAATATTTAGCCAGTTCTTTTTGTCATTCCACATTTAAAAAAGGTAAATTGCCTTCATCCGGTCAGGATGGTCCTGCCCTAGCTTAGCGTTCTCAGCTTTTGAATCCAGTAGAATTAATGTGACTTGATGTTGTGAAGGTGCCTTACTATGATTTATATGATGATGATATATATGAACTTAAAGATAGATCCGATTGATTTGATTTCAATTTGAATATAACAACCCCATTTCCTAAAAAGATGGGACGTTGAGTAAAATATAAATAAAAACAAGCTGTGATCATGTACAAAAGATTGACACTTCATATCTCGTTGAAAATAGAACGAACAAAATGTCAGATGTATAAACTGAGAAATGCCCAGGTATCGTCTATGTGTGGGAAACACTGCATGACACTAGACTGGTAAAACATTCCACTTTATAATTTACTGAAATTGGTCTCTGGAATTCTCAAAGTGGTTAAAAAGTGTTGCTAAAGAAGAGGTGTGTAACAGAGTGGTGAATATGACGTGTGCAAGTGTTGCAGGCATAAAAATGAAAAAATGGGCTTTCAGAAAACAATGAAATTTCTCAGTTTGAACATTTGGCATGTTGTCTTTGTGCTAATTTCAAATCAAATATGTGGTTTCAATGTATAGAAAATGATCACATTCTGTTAAATTAACATTTTACACAACACCCCAACTACTACTTTTTAATAAATGGGGCAGTGTATATTAGAAAGGCAGACGGTAGCTAAAAGGAAAGCTAACCTGTGCAGCATGTTTTACGTCTGTGTTTTCTATTTCACTTATTCATCTACCTCAAGCATGTTCATGGAAATTAGCCTAAATTTTACCAAATGACAGCCCCCTCTTCTTGTAGGTCTAACAAGTTAATATTTGTCAGCCAGAGAGCTAACTTTGTTACTTTTTTTTTTCCAGTTAATTTTTGTTGCATACATGAATCATTGTTTGTTTTTATTCATAACCCGGAATCCTGTTTTCTCATCATGACTGTGTGGTGTCCAGGTCCACCAGACTCTAAACAAACCAAATGTTTGCATCAGGGATCTTTAAAGGTGCTGGTTGATGGTTATTGTTAACAATATTCAGGCTTACTGATTCTTTTTTTCCTGACTTATGCTAAGCTAAGCTAAGTAGCTGCAAAATGTAGCATCATATTTACTGGAAAGTAAACAGGTTGTTGACATAATCCTTAAATATATCATTATTTAATCAGATGTTCGGTCAGATAGGGCACAAGTGGACTCTGCAGGAGTGTGTGTGTGTCACTAAGTCAAATATCTTCCATGTAGTTGTGTAGGTGTGTGCGCTAAATTGCCCGAATAAAATGTACAGTCCAGTACTTCTGCATTTAGCAGAGTCCTTTTCATTTTGGTATCTGAACTTCTGTGATACAAAACAATGTATGAGCTTCTTTTGTGTTCTTGAAGTGATCTGGACCTGTGTTGTACATTCTGCGACTTTGTACTGAAGAAGCAGCATTTTTATTTATTGTAGGCAGTACAGTGAACAGAAAAATAAATAAAACCACAACTGTAACCTCAAGACATCACACACCAAACAACAATCAGTGTCTTCCTGTTCAGCCCATCATCTCTATCTACAGAAGTGACTTCCTGTGTGAGCACTCAGAGCAGGAAAGGAAACACACAAACGCTTGTTTCTGAAACTGTGAGGGGACACTGCACTGACTTTCATTCATCACAGGAAACACACCTTTGTCTTGTTTAACTTACATTGTGGGGACTCGACTGGCACCTTTTATTGTCTAAAAGGTGAGATGTTAGTTTATTTCTCCTCCTCTTTGAATCGTGCTTGTCTGCTATATCTCTAGACATCATGAGAAGAACTACTGCAGTGTTTAAACTAGAGACTTTATGAAAAAATGACAAAACATGACAAATGCCCAAAACGTAAACTCAAACTGTATTGATCGCCCCCTGGTGACTGACTGTAGTAAAGGTCATAAGGTATTCTTCCCCTATGTTTACAGAAGTACGGTGGCTGGGAAGTGCAAAACGAAATTACAAAATGTGAGACACATTTACATTTTGAAAAACATTTCTACATTTTTAATATGTTTGCCAAATTCTGAGTGTAAGAAAAACAGGATACAAAGAGAATGTGTCCCCCTACAGGTTTTAGTTGTTATATTGAATGTTGTCCTGTTTTATTAGTTTTATGTTGATTTGAAGTTGTAAGATGTCACGACACACTCACTGTTAAGGTTGTTTGTCAACCCCAGGAAGAATAACTGCAGCAATGTTGCGGCTTAAAGGATCCTCATGAACTAAACTAAGAAGACCAAAGATGTTTTCTGAATCAGGGTGTAATATATATTTTTTCTGCTTTATGAATGTGTATTTTAATTTGGGCTTAAATTGGTTTCCTTGCAGTTAGTTTCACTTCCTCATTGTCTTTTCCTTTTCAACACCTGGGTTGTCGCATCCATTTGGCTGCCTTTTATAACCTTACAGACATGCAAACAAGAGTAAAGAAAACAAGCGTTCTGACACCTTAGGTTGCAGGTTTACGTCATTTCAGCCGAGAAGCATAATGTTCATTTCACAGACTGAAGTTCAGACTCGTCTTCTCATCAGGTCGTGATGAAAACAGATGCAGCAGACTGACAGAAAGATGCTCCTGAATGTTTCCAGACTAACTGAATTTATGTCAGATTTACAGTCAGATACAGAAGCTTCAGAATGGTAAGAGCTCAAATTGTCAGACCTCAGAAAGGTAATTTGTTTCAGTCTCGTTCTCTGAGCATACAAAGATGGCTTTCCTCTGAACACAATTTTTCTCAAGTAACTAAAATCAGGTTATTTAAGCAGCAGCAGGTTTTTATTTCTATTACAGTACATATCTGCTGTGTCATTGGCTGTGACTGGAGGATTTATCTGTACATGGTTACTTAGTTTCTTAAATAGTAGACACAGCTTGTAACATGGTGTCTGCCAGATTATTCAAATGGGAGTTGTTGACGGTTTGATGAGTATTTCAGTTGCACTTCCCACAGGAAATAAATACAATCAGAATGTCTGCAAGTCAGCAGGAGGACAGAAATACATCAACCTCTGGTGTTGTATGATAAAGCCAATGTGAAAACAAAAAGCCTGTACTGTAGTTTCTACAATGTCCACTTGAGGCTGGCTCAGAAAGAGAGTCAATCAACATAAAGCCCAATGCTAAAAATGTCAAACAGTATAGCAGAATATACGTTCACAAACAGGTTCAAAAAGCAGTTGTGTTCTCAATAGCTTATTTATCTATTCATGACATCGGTAACAGCCTATGTGAACAATGCCTGAGAGTCAGTATCACTTTGGTGGTGAAGTGTAGCTAAAAGCCTTCCGATTGGCTGTTTAGCTCAACCAATCAGTGCTTCATTTATATAAGGCTGTTTTCAAGGTTTCTGTAATGAGTCAGAAATCTTTTCTGAGCACAGAGACGTTTAATAAGTCAGTTTTTATTCTGTTCAAAGGGGTCATATTATGATTTTTCTGGTTTTATATGCGCTTTAGTTTGTTTTCCAAGTGTCCTGTGCATGTTTAGGTACATCTATGTGCAAAAATTCAAAGTCCGCAGAACACGGCTTCTCCTACCTCCTCCTGTTAGCTGTAGCATTAGCTGCATGTAACACTCTGCATGTTCTAGCCCCCCTCGAAATTTTTTTTTGCAAGTGTGACGTCTTGTCAGTGTGAGATCACTGATCTAAGCCCATTGGCTCATTAAGGCAAGCCCTGCAGCTCATGTTGCAGGCCCATTAACTTCTGTCGCACGCCCACGATATGCCGTAGCCTGCGGTAGCACAGTAGTGCTAAGGTGCTAATGTTTTTACTCCACGCGGCGCCAAAGTGGCTGCATTCCCAATATGGTGAAAGGGGCGTGACATTTCCGAGAACCGCGCTGAGCGACTGACCAATTACAGCAGAGCCGATAGGCCGACCAATCAGATCAGACTTGGCACATGTGGGTACTTCAGAGCCTTAGAGAGAGAGTCAGAAGAGAGCCGGTGCATGGAGCGGCAGTTCATGAAAACAGACACTTTTTTCAAACTTTAGCTGTTGTGAACATACTTTAGTAGGTACATAGATTAAATATATGAACCCCAAAAAGGGCAGAATATGACCTCTTTAAAGCAGACAAAAACAGACGTGTGTGTGTGTGTGTGGGGGGGGGGCGTCTGGAAAGATAAGAGTCAGTGGTGCATTCAAGTGCAACTCAAAGTAAAAGGAGGCTTTGATCAGTGAGTCTTTGTCAGTGTCAGGTTAACTGGTGATAACAGTCGTTGCCTCTGATTGGTTATTGTAGATGTGACCACAGCAGCATGAGATAACCTGTGTGTGTGTGTGTGTGTGTGTGTGTGTGTGTGTGTGTTCATTTATAATAATCATTATCATCAGCTTACAATATGTTATTGAAAACATGCTAATAAAGATTACCCTCCATTTCTTATAACAGATCGTCCCCTCGTGGGTACAACGAGGGTCCTCATAAGTACAGATGAACGAGAGTGTGTGTGTGTGTGTGTGTGTTTGTATGAATGTGTAAGGCTGACTGATTAACTGTGTTTTATAAAACTAGAGTGACAGGAAGTAATCACAAAGACAGGAAGCTAAAAAAGGCCCAGTAGAAGAAGAAAATTGTGTGTGTGTGTGTTTGTGTGTGTGTGCGTGTTTGTCGGCAGTCAAAGTTCAGACCTCATATTGTTAGTCAAACATTCACTTTCACACGTGCAGCACACATTTTAAAAACAAGGTTGTGTGTGTGTGTGTGTGTGTGTGTGTGTAGAAATAGAGACAGACAATCAAGGTGCCCCTTTGCACGCCCAAATGTCCTGAATCCATTTATGACCTGTGTGTGTGTGTGTGTGTGTGTGTCCTGTGTGTGAGTGATTGTGCTTGTGTGTTTGCGTGTGTGCGTGTGTGTGTGTGTGCACGCGTGTGTGTGTGGGCGGGTGAGCAGACAGAGAGAGAGAGAGAGAGAGAGAGAGAGACATGATTTCATTTCAGGGCGAGCGTGCACAACTGAAGAATGAGAATGAGAAAGCGAGGGAGGAAGGTGGAGCCACAAGGAGAGAGAGAGAGTGAGAGCGAGGCAACTGAGCGCGCTCAGATGAGTCTGTCAGCAGACGGAGGAGTAGTACAGACCAGAGAAGGACTCGAACCACCGACCTTCTTACATGCAACCTGATATTCTTTAACACAAAAAGGAGGAGGAGGAGGGAAAAGAGAAGGATAAAAAGTCAGACGAAGAGGAGGAGGGAGAAGAAGAAGAAGAAGAAGGAGCAGGAGAAGAGGAGTGTCTGCAGAAGAAACAGGTCTGAACTTCTTCTCTTCATATTAACCTGCAGATTTCTCAGATTTTCAATCAAAAAATTATAATTGAAATACTTAATCTCTGTATTTGAAATCATACAAAGACAATAAACAACAACAAAAGTGAAGTTGAAAAGATTACAAAACTAAAAATGTCATAAAATCGAAAAATAATTGATATTAATATTCCACTCAAGACTAACAACAGACCTCTCAGTGTACAGTAAGATGACAAAGAATAAATGACTTTTAATGCTATATCAGAACCAATGATAAAAAAGAGCTCTTTTCTTTAACACCACCACCGTGCACTGAATGCTCTGCAAGAGATAAAATAAACATTTAAGTGTCCAAATGGTTTATTTCTAATTTATTTGACAATGTTATATTCCTAACACAGATCTAGAGTGTCTGTCACCAGTAAGATCTGGTCAAAATCTCCCTCTCATATTTTAGTTACCAGTTTTACCTTCTTCACATTCTGTCCTGATCTGCTTTAAGAGGTTTAGAGTCTGTTCATCTTGAATATTGAGAGCTGGTTTATATGAAACTGAATCAAATACTTGTTTGCCCTGTGGTATAGTTTATGTTTAATGTCTGGGATTTACATTAAGATCACAAACTAGTAACCATATTGAGACCAAACTAAACATTTTAATTTTACAGATAAAGACAGAGACCAGTATTTAACATTATATTTTACAGACAGTACAGTTGAACAAAGTTAGGGCAGTAAAGGCATGACTTCTTTAAAGGGTTCAAATTGATTTTCAAAAATATTTTTAAAATGACTGTAAACTGTGGGATGTCTTTTGTAATCTGTACTCAACAAAGTGATGCTTCAGTTTGAGAACATGATCAGTTGATTTCACATTTAGACTTGAAAGGATTTTCCTCACAACCTTGTCCTCACAGTCCTGCTCGCCAGAGAACCTCTCAATGCTGTGCTCAATGCTGCACTAAATGCTGAATGAGTGCTAACACTGGAAGTGTGAAACCGTGATGGAGCGTTGATAACTGTCAGTAAAGTTCCCTTTAATCACTCTTAAAGGGGAATTTGAAGTCAGAGCTGTTTATTTCAGTTGATCCTCGGCTCAAATACAAACTCCGTTTCTCTCTCTTTCTCTCTCTACGTATAAGTGATGAAAGCTAAAATGATCAATACACTTCAGTAAAAGTTAAAGTGTGAATAAAAACTGTATTACTTTCCTCTAATTGAGACTTCTATCCT